TTACTAAAGAGTGTTCAAGCTAGTCAACCCGATTTACAAAGTCCCTTGGAAGAATATATATCGCCCTATATGGATACTAAAAAAGAAGCCTATATTACCGTGGATGAACAAAAACATATAACCGAATCTGTGGAATTTATTAATGAAGCTAAGCCACAAGATTTACAGGTACCCGAGGTAATCACAAACCAGGCTCAACTTAACCAAGAATTAAGACAATTCACCACCAATGAAGTTGCCATAGCACAGACTTCGGAACAGGCGGAAGAACTTAAACCAAAAGCAATTATACCACTGCAAAAGGGTAAGCCAACTCTGACCAATGGCAATGCTATAGGAGAAACTATGAAGGAACAACTGTTTGAAAGTCTTTCGGAACAGGATTTCAAATTGCCCGCTACAGAACAGGTAAAATCTCAAGTAGATACTTCAGCTACGGTGGCCACGGTATCAGATGTACAAGTTCAGCTTAAGGAAGAGTTATTGCCAGCAACACAACCCCAAACTCTAGCAGCTAAGACTACTTTAACTGAACAACCCAGTGCTATTACAATCTTTAGCCAACAAATGATAGAAAGTGAACAGGAAATGAAAGCTTTAGAAAAGCCTGAAATGCAAAATGCCCAACAACTTAGTAATATAACGGAATTGAAAGCTCCCCTAATCAATCTAAACGAAACACAGTCTAACACTAAACCCTTAGAAGAATTTCAACCACAAGAACTGCAAGCTATCAAAAAAATCGATACAAATATTGCTCAGCTTACCTCAGATACTACATTAATGGATACACATGCCTATATGGAGGCAGAGAAGACCGAAACATTAAATCTTAAGTCCCAAATTACCGCAAATTTAAATAATCTTGAAATTTACGAAGTAAATGTTACGGACAGTTTTAAGGAACAGCCAAAACTTGATAAACCTTCCAGCCACCAAGCCAGTCTGCAGCAAGATGAACATAAACTTAAATCTTTGGAAACCCGAGAGGTGGTTATACTGGAAAGCTCTACCGAGAGTAATATACAAATTGAGTCGGCTAGCATAGCTCCCACAACCAATTATGTACCACAACATGTTTCGGAAACTACCACACCTGTGCTTTTACAATTAACTGGCGATCTAAAGGAAACTAAACAGCCAGACGAACAGCATAGCCAAACCGAAATGGAACTAGTACAACCTTTAGAGATTTTAACAACACAAATACATGAAAAAGAAAGCAATCTACCAACAGCAGAGAAACCCTCTACTAAGGAAGTAACCACAACATCTACAAATCTTTTGACAATTGCCCAAACATATAGTGAACAAACCATAGAGCATACGGATGTTATGCCGGAGCCCGATGTAAAATCTCAATATGGTCATTACAATATCGCAGAAGGTATCAACGCCGCCCTTTCTTCACTCAACGAGGGCATAGATTCCATAGATGAATGTGACGCACAATCTCTAAATCCCGCCTATCTAACTAATATTAGAGTAGTGGAAAATAAAGCTGTAAATATTGAAATGGTAACGGCCACAGAAAAAGAAACTTCAACTAGTGAATTCCGTAAACCCACAGAAGCTGTAGCCGACAGCAAATTAAGTGATGAACTTTTCAAAGCTCCTTTAGTTAAGGAAGAAGAATCCTATGAAACTTCGGACAAATTTAAGGGTATTGTATCCTTAGAGGCGCAAGTTCAAATTAAGGAAACAGAAAATCTACGCGAACTTTCTGTGCAAGATCTAAATGTCTACGAGCAGGAACAGTCTTTAGATTTGGCCGATTTAAATAAGGCACAAGAAGCCTTGTCCAGTATTACGGCACAGCCACAAATTGCTTTAACGCTAAAAGAACAACTGCTGGAAGCCTCTCAAGATTTTAAGACCAAACCATTTACCAGCGATTTGGCTCAGAGCTCAACCCACGACATCTCACTAAAGGTACCACTAACACAGGGAGTTGAACAACAGGACTCAGTAGCAGAACTTAAAGACTATGACAGCACAACGCAAACAATCGAACCCATACAGAGTCTTCTAAACGAAACCATAACTTCGGAAACTTTAATATTAGAGAATTTTGAAGATAAAGAAATGAAATTACCACAAAAATCGGAACATCCAAAAGAAAGTTTACAGCAAACAAATAATTATGCCGCCATAGAGAACACTTTAATGATTTTAGAACAAGAACAACAAATGGAAGATGTTAAGGAGGCAACAAAACAGGCTAAACATCTAATAACTGATGCTCGAAATTTACCAGTAAGTCAAACACAAGGCTTCATGGAAAATACCGGTCAGCTAAAAGACTTTGAGAGCGTTACTCAAACAGCCAAAACGATGGCAGATGAAAAAGCTCTAATGGTTGGCACCTCAGACTCCTCACTGCTCTTAGACACAGTAGCTGAGAAGTTAACTGAGAAGCAAATTCCCTCAGCTACTGCTCAAATAGATCATGTAAGCAATCAAGGAGTGATTATTGAGGCTCAGCAAACAGCCGAATTTGAAGGCCTTATAGCACCCACTAAGCCTGAGCTAACTGAAATTCCCAGTACTGTAACTTCACAGGAACATAGGTTACCTATTATAGAAGAAACTAAACCGCATGAGATAACAGGTAATTTTATGTATTCTCAACCACTCACTACTAAAGCCGAAACAAAAATACAAGACTCCCACAAGGAGCTAACGATTATGGAAATACAAGCCATGGAAGAATCCAACATACTAGATATTGAGCAAAAACCCTTGTCACAGGTTAACACTGCAGTGGACGAACGCTTTAAGCCGGTCCAAGTAGAAACCTTAACTGATATACTGCAAAAGGAAGAAGTTATAAAAGATTTTAAACCTCAGTCAGAAATAGCAAAACCATTTGTTGAGGGCACTCTAAGAGAAATGATAGTGATAAAGCCAACTGCATATGAGGAATCACCAGAAATTAGTACGGAAAAGCCCCTCATGTCGACGGCCAAAAGCTTTGTCGAAGAGACAACAAAACAAACACACTTAAAGCAAATCCAAACTATAATGCAAAGCGAAACCGAACTTACTGCTCAACCACAAGACAAATATCAAGCCAAATCGATACTACAAGATTCACAGCAGGAAGTCCAAGTATCACAAGTTACCACCACGGAAAATGCTGATCATTTTGAAAGTATTCCCTTAAACCAGCAAAAAGCCATGGAACGAGTTAGCGAAATTACTAGTAATGCTAAAACCATTTCGTCCACTACGATTTTAGAAAAAGAAACAAATATTATCACACCAACTCCCCAGCCAAGTCAAGTTTTACAACCCACCACAAAAGCGGAAGTAAACGAAAAGATTGTCACTGAAATTATTACCTGTGAAGGAACAATTCCCATTGCTGACACAACCGAAATCAATACGCAGTTGGCTAAAGTTTCTATGGCCACCGTTAACAAAGAGATCAAACAGATTAAAGATGAACCTGTTTATGTTAAAGAAGCAGATGTTGATAGCCTTCAGATGAAGCCCGAAAGTGCCACCATCATACAGGATAATTTAAAAGCCATATTGGGAGAAGAAACATTAGGTCTCTCGAGCATAACAGAAACATATGAACTCACCAAACGCAGTGAACAACATGCGAATATTGTCAAAGATAGTCCAAATCTTCAAGTACAAATGGTAGAATCTACCATTGCCTATGAAGAGCCAAATACGTTTAGCAATCAATTGCAGCAGTATGAGAAAACTCAACCTGTTGCGATCGATGGAGAAACTAAAACCATACAATCGCATATTATACAGCCCTACGAAAATATCGGAGAGGAAAGTGGAGACTTTAAACCTAATTTACAAGATAGCAGAACAACACTTGTCCTGCCTGACTTTAAGGCATCAACCGTTGAAGAAGTTCTAACCCAAACGGATGTTTCCCAATTGGATAGTTTGGAAATATCGAAACAAATACAACCAATTCACTCACAGGAACACTCTGACAAATTAACCATTAGTACAGTTACGCCATTCGAAACACTACAAAATATACCGGACAAAGATCAAACTCAACAAAAAGCCAATGTAGGTTTAACAGACGCTATGGTAACATCTACCAGCACGGAGTCACAGACTTCCACAATAGTTGGTGAACTAGAATGCAAGGAGCCCATAACTCACAAGCCGTTTACAGAAATACAAACACAAAGTATGTATATGTATGAAACTCAAGTAATTCCAAACGAAAACACACAACCACTCAGAACAAAAGCACTCGAAACGGCTGTTGAAGCCACTCCCATAACACAGTCACAACATGCATATCAAGAAAGCTCTACAGATACCTACGAAAACACTAAACCCATAGCCCCTCATCTATCGGAACGCGATAACGTTCTTCCCACTCTCGCTCTAAATGAACTTAAAACTGCACTCAACACTACCCACGCTCCAACAGACACTCTAACCGATATGCCAAAAAATCAAGAACTTCCCACGCAAAAAGCTCATATCAATATACACACAAAAATAATTCAAGAACAATCTACGCATTTAATTCTCGAAAGTGAACAATCAATACCAACTACACCTAAACCAGATACCCAAATTACACAAACCAAAGAGGTTCCGCAGACGAAATTGGAAAAAGTCAACATTATTACACCACAGAGTCCCCAAATGCAAACACAAAGCGAAAAACCCAAAACCCTAAACCACATAATTACAGATTATAATGTTGTTGATGAATTTACAGATACTCAAATTGCCGAGACAATTACACCTATTTCATCCACAATCACAGAAACTACAGAGTCACTCGATGACCAAGAAAAACATAAAACATATACGGTAACATATACATCCGGTAAGTACACTTACTATATCCTTATTATTTATAGTACATGGCGTAGTACTTGTCAAGGCCCCATTCGAAACCCCACAACAAAAAACACATTATACACGATTAATAAAACAAAACACACACACAAAATCACTACAATTACAATAACTAACATACATAACATTCTATTATACAGATACCACACAAACAATTCACACACCAGAACACACAGATACACACGTAACATCACAAAAAATCACAGAAATGCCTGAAGAAATTCACGAGGTTGAAACAATTTCCACCGATGGTAAACTAAAGAAAAAGAAGATTCGCACTCGTGTCATTAAGAAGATCAAGGGTGACAAACAAGAGGTAACCAAGATCGAAACTGTTGAGGAAGATGACAAACAACCTGAAACAACAGTCACTGTCGAAGAAACTCCAGTTGAAGAACAACCCAAAGAAGAAGTTAAAGAACTTCCAGAAGAAGTTAGAGTAATTGAGACAATTTCGGAAGATGGCAAGCCAAAGAAAAAGAAGATCCGTACACGTGTCATCAAGAAGATCAAGGGTAACAAGCAAGAGGTAACCAAGATCGAAACTGTTGAGGAAGATGACAAACAACCTGAAACAACTGTCACTGTTGAAGAAACTCCAGTTGAAGAACAGCCCGAAGAAGTTAAAGAACTTCCAGAAGAAGTTAAAATAATTGAGACAATTTCTGAAGATGGTAAACCCAAGAAAAAGAAGATCCGCACTCGTGTAATCAAAAAGGTTAAGGGTGACAAACAAGAAGTAACCAAGATCGAAACTGTTGAGGAAGATGACAAACAACCCGAAACAACAGTTACTGTCGAAGAAACTCCAGTTGATGAACAACCCGAAGAAGTCAAAGAACTACCAGAGGAAGTTAAAATAATTGAGACTATTTCTGAAGATGGCAAACCCAAGAAAAAGAAGATCCGAACTCGCGTAATCAAAAAGGTTAAGGGTGACAAACAAGAAGTAACCAAGATCGAAACTGTTGAGGAAGATGACAAACAACCTGAAACAACAGTTACTGTCGAAGAAACTCCAGTTGAAGAACAACCCGAAAAAGTTAAAGAACTTCCAGAAGAAGTTAAAATAATTGAGACAATTTCTGAAGATGGTAAGCCCAAGAAAAAGAAGATCCGCACTCGTGTAATCAAAAAGGTTAAGGGTGACAAACAAGAAGTAACCAAGATCGAAACTGTTGAAGAAGATGACAAACAACCCGAAACAACAGTTACTGTCGAAGAAACTCCAGCTGAAGAACAACCCGAAAAAGTTAAAGAACTGCCAGAAGAAGTTAAAATAATTGAGACAATTTCTGAAGATGGTAAGCCCAAGAAAAAGAAGATCCGCACTCGTGTAATCAAAAAGGTTAAGGGTGACAAACAAGAAGTAACCAAGATCGAAACTGTTGAGGAAGATGACAAACAACCCGAAACAACAGTTACTGTCGAAGAAACTCCAGTTGAAGAACAACCCGAAGAAGTCAAAGAACTACCAGAAGAAGTTAAAATAATTGAGACCATTTCTGAAGATGGTAAGCCCAAGAAAAAGAAGATCCGAACTCGCGTAATCAAAAAGGTCAAGGGTGACAAACAAGAAGTAACCAAGATTGAAACTATTGAGGAAGATGACAAACAACCTGAAACAACAGTTACTGTGGAAGAAACTCCAGTTGAAGAACAACCCGAAAAAGCTAAAGAACTTCCAGAAGAAGTTAAAATAATTGAGACAATTTCTGAAGATGGTAAGCCCAAGAAAAAGAAGATCCGCACTCGTGTAATCAAAAAGGTTAAGGGTGACAAACAAGAAGTAACCAAGATCGAAACTGTTGAGGAAGATGACAAACAACCGGAAACAACAGTTACTGTCGAAGAAACTCCAGTTGAAGAACAACCCGAAGAAGTCAAAGAACTACCAGAAGAAGTTAAAATAATTGAGACCATTTCTGAAGATGGTAAGCCCAAGAAAAGGAAGATCCGAACTCGCGTAATCAAAAAGGTCAAGGGTGACAAACAAGAAGTAACCAAGATTGAAACTATTGAGGAAGATGACAAACAACCTGAAACAACAGTTACTGTGGAAGAAACTCCAGTTGAAGAACAACCCGAAAAAGTTAAAGAACTTCCAGAAGAAGTTAAAATAATTCAGACAATTTCTGAAGATGGTAAGCTCAAGAAAAAGAAGATCCGCACTCGTGTAATCAAAAAGGTTAAGGGTGACAAACAAGAAGTAACCAAGATCGAAACTGTTGAGGAAGATGACAAACAACCCGAAACAACAATTACTGTCGAAGAAACTCCAGTTGAAGAACAACCCGAAGAAGTCAAAGAACTACCAGAAGAAGTTAAAATAATTGAGACCATTTCTGAAGATGGCAAACCCAAGAAAAAGAAGATCCGAACTCGCGTAATCAAAAAGGTCAAGGGTGACAAACAAGAAGTAACCAAGATTGAAACTATTGAGGAAGATGACAAACAACCCGAAACAACAGTTACTATCGAAGAAACTCCAGTAGAAGAACAACCCGATGAAGTAAAGGAACTTCCAGAAGAAGTTAAAATAATTGAGACAATTTCTGAAGATGGCAAACCCAAGAAAAAGAAAATCCGCACTCGCGTAATCAAAAAGGTTAAGGGTGACAAACAAGAAGTAACCAAGATCGAAACAGTTGAGGAAGACGACAAACAACCTGAAACAACAGTAACTGTCGAAGAAACTCCTGTTGAAGAACAACCCGAAGAAGTTAAAGAATTGCCAGAAGAAGTTAGGGTGATAGAAATAATTTCAGAAGAAGGTAAACCCAAGAAAAAGAAGATTCGCACTCGTGTTATTAAGAAGGTTAAGGGTGACAAACAAGAGGTGACCAAGATCGAAACTGTTGAGGAAGATGACAAATTACCTGAAACAACAGTTACTGTCGAAGAAACTCCAATTGAAGAACAACCAGAAGAAGTTAAGGAACTTCCAGAAGAAGTTAGGGTAATAGAAACAATTTCTGAAGATGGCAAACCCAAGAAAAAGAAGATCCGCACTCGCGTCATCAAGAAGGTTAAGGGCGACAAACAAGAAGTTACCAAAATCGAAACTGTGGAGGAAGATGACAAGCAACCTGAAACAACAGTTACTGTCGAAGAAACTCCAATGGAGGAACAACATGAAGAAGTTCAGGAACTTCCAGAAGAAGTGAAAGTAATAGAAACAATCTCTGAAGATGGCAAACCCAAGAAAAAGAAAATCCGCACTCGCGTCATTAAGAAGGTTAAGGGAGACAAACAAGAAGTAACTAAGATTGAAACTGTTGAGGAAGATGACAAGCAACCTGAAACGACAGTTACTGTCGAAGAAACCCCTGTTGAAGAACAACCTGAAGAAGTTCAGGAACTTCCAGAAGAAGTGAAAGTAATAGAAACAATCTCTGAAGATGGCAAACCCAAGAAAAAGAAAATCCGCACCCGTGTCATTAAGAAGGTTAAGGGTGACAAACAAGAAGTGACCAAGATAGAAACTGTTGAGGAAGATAACAAGGAACCCGAAACCACAGTTACTGTGGAAGAAACCCCAATTGAAGAACAGCCTGAAGAGGTGAAGGAACTTCCAGAAGAAGTTAAAGTTATTGAAACCATTTCAGAAGACGGCAAGCCTAAGAAAAAGAAGATCCGCACACGTGTTATCAAGAAGGTTAAAGGAGACAAACAAGAAGTCACAAAGATTGAAACCGTTGAAGAAGACGATAAACAACCCGAAACAACAGTAACTGTTGAAGAAACTGCAATTGAAGAGAAACCGGAGGAAGTCAAGGAGCTTCCAGAAGAAGTAAGAGTAATTGAGACAATTTCTGAAGATGGCATGCCTAAGAAAAAGAAAATCCGCACACGTGTCATCAAAAAGGTTAGGGGTGACAAACAAGAAGTGACCAAGATCGAAACTGTTGAGGAAGATGACAAGCAACCCGAAACGACAGTTACTGTCGAAGAAACCCCAATTGAAGAACAGCCTGAAGAAGTTCAGGAACTTCCAGAAGAAGTGAAAGTAATAGAAACAATCTCTGAAGATGGCAAACCCAAGAAAAAGAAAATCCGCACTCGCGTCATAAAGAAGGTTAAGGGAGACAAACAAGAAGTAACTAAGATTGAAACTGTTGAGGAAGATGACAAGCAACCTGAAACGACAGTTACTGTCGAAGAAACCCCTGTTGAAGAACAACCTGAAGAAGTTCAGGAACTTCCAGAAGAAGTGAAAGTAATAGAAACAATCTCTGAAGATGGCAAACCCAAGAAAAAGAAAATCCGCACCCGTGTCATTAAGAAGGTTAAGGGTGACAAACAAGAAGTGACCAAGATCGAAACTGTTGAGGAAGATGACAAACAACCCGAAACGACTGTTACTGTCGAAGAAACCCCAATTGAAGAACAGCCTGAAGAGGTGAAGGAACTTCCAGAAGAAGTTAAAGTTATTGAAACCATTTCAGAAGACGGCAAGCCTAAGAAAAAGAAGATCCGCACACGTATCATCAAAAAGGTTAAAGGAGACAAACAAGAAGTCACAAAGATTGAAACCGTTGAAGAAGACGATAAACAACCCGAAACTACAGTAACTGTTGAAGAAACCCCAATTGAAGAGAAAACGGAGGAAGTCAAGGAGCTTCCAGAAGAAGTAAGAGTAATTGAGACAATTTCTGAAGATGGCAAACCTAAGAAAAAGAAGATCCGCACTCGTGTCATCAAGAAGGTTAAGGGTGACAGACAAGAAGTGACCAAAATCGAAACTGTTGAAGAAGATGACAAACAACCCGAAACAACAGTTACAATTGAAGAATCACCTTTTGAAGAACAACCCGAAGAAATTAAAGAACTTCCTGAAGAAGTTCGTGTTATCGAGTCTGTTACAGAAGAAGGTAAACCGAAGAAGAAGGTTATTCGTACACGTGTTATCAAGAAGGTCAGGGGTGATAAACAAGAGGTCACTAAGATCGAGACTGTTGAAGAAGATGATAGACAACCCGAAACTACAGTAACTGTTGAAGAGGCTCCTATTGAAGAACAACCCGAAAAAATTAAGGAGCTTCCTGAAGAAGTTCGTGTTATCGAGTCTGTTACTGAAGAAGGTAAACCCAAGAAGAAGGTTATTCGTACACGTGTTATTAAGAAGGTCAAGGGTGATAAACAAGAAGTCACTAAGATCGAGACTGTTGAAGAAGATGATAAACAACCCGAAACTACAGTAACTGTTGAAGAGGCTCCTATTGAAAAACAACCCGAAGAAATTAAGGAGCTTCCTGAAGAAGTTCGTGTTATCGAGTCTGTTACTGAAGAAGGTAAACCGAAGAAGAAGGTTATTCGTACACGTGTTATCAAGAAGGTCAGGGGTGATAAACAGGAAGTCACTAAGATCGAGACTGTTGAAGAAGATGATAAACAACCCGAAACTACAGTAACTGTTGAAGAGACTCCTATTGAAAAACAACCCGAAGAAATTAAGGAACTTCCTGAAGAAGTTCGTGTTGTCGAGTCTGTTACTGAAGAAGGTAAACCGAAAAAGAAGGTTATTCGTACACGTGTTATCAAGAAGGTCAGGGGTGATAAACAGGAAGTGACTAAGATCGAGACTGTTGAAGAAGATGATAAACAACCCGAAACTACAGTAACTGTTGAAGAGGCTCCTATTGAAAAACAACCCGAAGAAATTAAGGAACTTCCTGAAGAAGTTCGTGTTGTCGAGTCTGTTACTGAAGAAGGTAAACCAAAGAAGAAGGTTATTCGTACACGTGTTATTAAGAAGGTCAAGGGTGATAAACAAGAAGTCACTAAGATCGAGACTGTTGAAGAAGATGATAAACAACCCGAAACTACAGTAACTGTTGAAGAGGCTCCTATTGTAGAACAACCCGAAGACATTAAGGAACTTCCTGAAGAAGTTCGTGTTGTCGAGTCTGTTACTGAAGAAGGTAAACCGAAGAAGAAGGTTATCCGTACCCGTGTTATCAAAAAAGTTAAGGGTGATAAACAAGAAGTCACAAAGATTGAAACCGTTGAAGAGGACGATAAACAACCCGAAACTACAGTAACTATTGAAGAGGCTCCTATTGAAAAACAACCGGAAGAAATTAAGGAACTTCCTGAAGAAGTTCGTGTTGTCGAGTCTGTTACTGAAGAAGGTAAACCGAAGAAGAAGGTTATTCGCACTCGTGTTATCAAGAAGGTCAAAGGTGATAAACAAGAAGTCACAAAGATCGAAACTGTTGAAGAAGATGATAAACAACCCGAAACTACAGTAACTGTTGAAGAGACTCCTATTGATGATAAACCCGAAGAAATAAAGGAACTTCCTGAAGAAGTTCGTGTTGTTGAGTCCGTTACTGAAGAAGGTAAACAGAAGAAGAAGGTTATTCGTACACGTGTTATCAAGAAGGTCAAGGGTGATAAACAAGAAGTCACTAAGATTGAAACCGTTGAAGAAGACGATAAACAACCAGAAACCACAGTAACTGTAGAAGAGGCTCCTATTGAAGAACAACCCGAAGAAATTAAGGAACTTCCTGAAGAAGTTCGCGTTGTCGAGTCTGTTTCTGAAGAAGGTAAACCGAAGAAGAAAGTTATTCGTACACGTGTTATCAAGAAGGTGAAGGGTGATAAACAAGAAGTCACTAAGATTGAAACCGTTGAAGAAGACGATAAGAAACCCGAAACCACAGTAACTGTCGAAGAGGCTCCTATTGAAGAACAACCCGAAGAAATTAAGGAACTTCCTGAAGAAGTTCGTGTTGTCGAGTCTGTTACTGAAGAAGGTAAACCGAAGAAGAAGGTAATCCGTACCCGTGTTATCAAGAAGGTCAAGGGTGATAAACAAGAAGTGACTAAGATCGAGACTGTTGAAGAAGATGATAAACAACCCGAAACTACGGTAACTGTTGAAGAGGCTCCAATTGAAGAACAACCCGAAGAAATTAAGGAACTTCCTGAAGAAGTTCGCGTTGTCGAGTCTGTTACTGAAGAAGGTAAACCGAAGAAAAAGATTATTCGTACACGTGTTATCAAGAAGGTCAAGGGTGATAAACAAGAAGTGGCTAAGATCGAGACTGTTGAAGAAGATGATAAGCAACCCGAAACTACATTAACTGTTGAAGAGGCTCCTACTGAAGAACAATCCGAAAAAATTAAGGAACTTCCTGAAGATGTTCGTGTTATCGAGTCTGTTTCTGAAGATGGTAAGCCCAAGAAGAAGGTTGTTCGCACTCGTGTTATCAAGAAGGTCAAGGGTGACAAACAAGAAGTTACCAAGATTGAAACCGTAGAAGAAGACGATAAGAAACCCGAAACCACAGTAACTGTCGAAGAGGCTCCTATTGAAGAACAACCACAAGAAATTAAGGAACTTCCTGAAGAAGTTCGTGTTGTCGAGTCTATTACTGAAGAAGGTAAACCGAAGAAAAAGGTTATTCGTACACGTGTAATCAAGAAGGTCAAGGGTGATAAACAAGAAGTCACTAAGATCGAAACTGTTGAAGAAGATGATAAACAACCAGAAACTACGGTAACTGTTGAAGAGGCTCCAATTGAAGAACAACGCGAAGAAATTAAGGAACTTCCTGAAGAAGTTCGCGTTGTCGAGTCTGTTACTGAAGAAGGTAAACCGAAGAAGAAGGTTATTCGCACACGTATTATCAAGAAGGTCAAGGGTGATAAACAAGAAGTGACTAAGATCGAGACTGTTGAAGAAGATGATAAACAACCAGAAACTACGGTAACTGTTGAAGAAGCTCCAATTGAAGAACAACCCGAAGAAATTAAGGAACTTCCTGAAGAAGTTCGCGTTGTCGAGTCTGTTACTGAAGAAGGTAAACCGAAGAAGAAGGTTATTCGCACTCGTGTTATCAAGAAGGTCAAGGGTGATAAACAAGAAGTGACTAAGATCGAGACTGTTGAAGAAGATGATAAACAACCAGAAACCACAGTAACTGTCGAAGAGGCTCCTATTGAAGAAGACAACCCCGAAGAAATTAAGGAATTTCCTGAAGAAGTTCGTGTTGTCGAGTCTGTTACTGAAGAAGGTAAACCGAAGAAGAAGGTTATCCGTACACGTGTAATCAAGAAGGTCAAGGGTGATAAACAAGAAGTCACTAAGATTGAAACCGTTGAAGAAGACGATAAACAACCAGAAACTACAGTAACTGTCGAAGAGACTCCTATTGAAGAAAACCCCGAAGAAATTAAAGAACTTCCTGAAGAAGTTCGTGTTGTCGAGTCTGTTACTGAAGAAGGTAAACCGAAGAAGAAGGTTATCCGTACCCGTGTTATCAAGAAGGTCAAGGGTGATAAACAAGAAGTGACTAAGATCGAGACTGTTGAAGAAGATGATAAACAACCCGAAACTACGGTAACTGTTGAAGAGGCCCCAATTGAAGAACAACCCGAAGAAATTAAGGAACTTCCTGAAGAAGTTCGAGTTGTCGAGTCTGTTACTGAAGAAGGTAAACCGAAGAAGAAGGTTATTCGCACTCGTGTTATCAAGAAGGTCAAGGGTGATAAACAAGAAGTCACTAAGATCGAGACTGTTGAAGAAGATGATAAACAACCCGAAACCACAGTAACTGTTGAAGAGGCTCCTATTGAAGAACAACCCGAAAAAATTAAGGAACTTCCTGAAGAAGTTCGTGTTATCGAGTCTGTTTCTGAAGAAGGTAAACCGAAGAAGAAGGTTATTCGTACACGTGTTATCAAGAAGGTCAAGGGTGATAAACAAGAAGTCACTAAAATCGAGACTGTTGAAGAAGATGATAAACAACCCGAAACTACAGTAACTGTTGAAGAGGCTCCTATTAAAGATCAACCCGAAGAAATTGAGGAACTTCCTGAAGAAGTTCGCGTTGTCGAGTCTGTTACTGAAGAAGGTAAACCGAAGAAGAAGGTTATTCGTACTCGTGTCATCAAGAAGGTCAAGGGTGATAAACAAGAAGTGACTAAGATCGAGACTGTTGAAGAAGACGATAAACAACCAGAAACCACAGTAACTGTCGAAGAGGCTCCTATTGAAGAAAAACCACGAGAAATTAAGGAACTTCCTGAAGAAGTTCGCGTTGTCGAGTCTGTTACTGAAGAAGGTAAACCGAAGAAGAAGGTTATTCGTACACGTGTAATCAAGAAGGTCAAGGGTGATAAACAAGAAGTCACTAAGATTGAAACCGTTGAAGAAGACGATAAAAAACCCGAAACTATAGTAACTGTCGAAGAGGCTCCTATTGAAGAACAACCCGAAGAAATTAAGGAACTTCCGGAAGAAGTTCGTGTTGTCGAGTCTGTTACTGAAGAAGGTAAACCGAAGAAGAAGGTTATCCGTACACGTGTTATCAAGAAGGTGATGGGTGATAAACAAGAAGTCACTAAGATCGAGACTGTTGAAGAAGATGATAAACAACCCGAAACTACGGTAACTGTTGAAGAGGCTCCTATTGAAGAACAACCCGAAGAAATTAAGGAACTTCCTGAAGAAGTTCGTGTTATCGAGTCTGTTTCTGAAGATGGTAAGCCCAAGAAGAAGGTTGTTCGCACTCGTGTTATCAAGAAAGTCAAGGGTGATAAACAAGAAGTTACCAAGATTGAAACCGTAGAAGAAAACGACAAGCAACCCGAAACCACAGTAACTGTTGAAGAGGCTCCCATTGAAGAACAACCAGAAGAAATTAAAGAACTTCCTGAAGAAGTTCGTGTTGTCGAGTCTGTTACTGAAGAAGGTAAACCGAAGAAAAAGATTATTCGTACACGTGTTATCAAGAAGGTCAAGGGTGATAAACAAGAAGTCACTAAGATCGAAACTGTTGAAGAAGATGATAAACAACCCGAAACTACAGTAACTGTTGAAGAGGCTCCTATTGAAGAACAACCCGAAGAAATTCAGGAACTTCCTGAAGAAGTTCGCGTTGTCGAGTCTGTTTCTGAAGAAGGTAAACCGAAAAAGAAGGTTATTCGTACACGTGTAATCAAGAAGGTGAAGGGTGATAAACAAGAAGTTACTAAGATTGAAACCGTTGAAGAAGACGATAAGAAACCCGAAACCACAGTAACTGTCGAAGAGGCTCCTATTGAAGAACAACCCGAAAAAATTAAGGAACTTCCTGAAGAAGTTCGTGTTATCGAGTCTGTTTCTGAAGATGGTAAACCCAAGAAGAAGGTTGTTCGAACTCGTGTTATCAAGAAGGTCAAGGGTGATAAACAAGAAGTCACAAAGATTGAGACTGTTGAAGAAGACGACAAACAACCCGAAACCACAGTAACTGTTGAAGAGGCTCCTATTAAAGAACAACCCGAAGAAATTAAAGAACTTCCGGAAGAAGTTCGTGTTATTGAGTCGGTTTCTGAAGATGGTAAACCCAAGAAGAAGGTTGTTCGCACTCGTGTTATCAAGAAGGTCAAGGGTGACAAACAAGAAGTTACCAAGATTGAAACCGTAGAAGAAGACGACAAGCAACCCGAAACCACAGTAACTGTTGAAGAGGCTCCCATTGAAGAACAACCACAAGAAATTAAGGAACTTCCTGAAGAAGTTCGTGTTGTCGAGTCTATTACTGAAGAAGGCAAACCGAAGAAAAAGGTTATTCGTACACGTGTAATCAAGAAGGTCAAGGGTGATAAACAAGAAGTCACTAAGATCGAAACTGTTGAAGAAGATGATAAACAACCCGAAACTACAGTAACTGTTGAAGAGGCTCCCATTGAAGAACAACCAGAAGAAATTAAAGAACTTCCTGAAGAAGTTCGTGTTGTCGAGTCTGTTACTGAAGAAGGTAAACCGAAGAAGAAGGTTGTTCGCACTCGTGTTATCAAGAAGGTCAAGGGAGACAAACAAGAAGTTACCAAGATTGAAACCGTAGAAGAAGACGACAAGCAACCCGAAACCACAGTAACTGTTGAGGAGGCTCCTGTCGAAGAACAGCCCGAAGAAATTAAGGAACTTCCTGAAGAAGTTCGTGTTATTGAGTCGGTTTCTGAAGATGGTAAACCCAAGAAGAAGGTTGTTCGCACTCGTGTTATCAAGAAGGTCAAGGGTGATAAACAAGAAGTCACAAAGATTGAGACCGTTGAAGAAGACGACAAACAACCCGAAACCACAGTAACTGTTGAAGAGGCTCCTGTCGAAGAACAGCCCGAAGAAATTAAGGAACTTCCTGAAGAAGTTCGTGTTACTGAGTCGGTTTCTGAAGATGGTAAACCCAAGAAGAAGGTTGTTCGCACTCGTGTTATCAAGAAGGTCAAGGGTGACAAACAAGAAGTTACCAAGATTGAAACCGTAGAAGAAGACGACAAGCAACCCGAAACCACAGTAACTGTTGAAGAGGCTCCCATTGAAGAACAACCACAAGAAATTAAGGAACTTCCTGAAGAAGTTCGTGTTGTCGAGTCTATTACTGAAGAAGGCAAACCGAAGAAAAAGGTTATTCGTACACGTGTAATCAAGAAGGTCAAGGGTGATAAACAAGAAGTCACTAAGATCGAAACTGTTGAAGAAGATGATAAACAACCCGAAACTACAGTAACTGTTGAAGAGGCTCCCATTGAAGAACAACCAGAAGAAATTAAAGAACTTCCTGAAGAAGTTCGTGTTGTCGAGTCTGTTACTGAAGAAGGTAAACCGAAGAAGAAGGTTATTCGTACACGTGTAATCAAGAAGGTCAAAGGTGATAAACAAGAAGTTACTAAGATCGAGACTGTAGAAGAAGATGATAAGCAACCCGAAACTACAGTAACTGTTGAAGAGGCTGCTGTCGAAGAACAGCCCGAAGAAATCAAGGAACTTCCTGAAGAAGTTCGTGTTATCGAGTCTGTTTCTGAAGATGGTAAGCCCAAGAAGAAGGTTATTCGCACTCGTGTTATCAAGAAGGTCATGGGTAACAAACAAGAAGTCACCAAGATTGAAACCGTAGAAGAAGACGACAAACAACCCGAAACCACAGTTACTATTGAAGAGGCTTCTGTGGAAGAACAGCCCGAAGAAATTAAGGAACTTCCTGAAGAAGTTCGTGTTATCGAGTCTATTTCTGAAGATGGTAAACCCAAGAAGAAGGTTGTTCGCACTCGTGTTATCAAGAAGGTCAAGGGTGACAAACAAGAAGTCACTAAGATTGAAACCGTAGAAGAAGACGACAAACAACCCGAAACCACAGTAACGGTTGAAAAAGCTCCTGTGGAAGAACAACCCGAAGAAATTAAGGAACTTCCTGAAGAAGTTCGCGTTGTCGAGTCTGTTACTGAAGAAGGTAAACCGAAGAAAAAGATTATTCGAACACGTGTTATCAAGAAGGTCAAGGGTGATAAACAAGAAGTGACTAAGATCGAGACTGTTGAAGAAGATGATAAGCAACCCGAAACTACAGTAACTGTTGAAGAGGTTCCTACTGAAGAACAACCCGAAAAAATTAAGGAACTTCCTGAAGAAGTTCGTGTTATCGAGTCTGTTTCTGAAGATGGTAAACCCAAGAAGAAGGTTGTTCGAACTCGTGTTATCAAGAAGGTCAAGGGAGATAAACAAGAAGTCACAAAGATTGAGACTGTTGAAGAAGACGACAAACAACCCGAAACCACAGTAACTGTTGAAGAGGCTCCTGTCGAAGAACAGCCCGAAGAAATTAAGGAACTTCCTGAAGAAGTTCGTGTTATCGAGTCTGTTTCTGAAGATGGTAAGCCCAAGAAGAAGGTTGTTCGCACTCGTGTTATCAAGAAGGTCAAGGGTGACAAACAAGAAGTCACAAAGATTGAGACCGTTGAAGAAGACGACAAACAACCCGAAACCACAGTAACTGTTGAAGAAGCTCCTGTCGAAGAACAGCCCGAAGAAATTAAGGAACTTCCTGAAGAAGTTCGTGTTATTGAGTCGGTTTCTGAAGATGGTAAACCCAAGAAGAAGGTTGTTCGCACGCGTGTTATCAAGAAGGTCAAGGGTGATAAACAAGAAGTCACAAAGATTGAGACCGTTGAAGAAGACGACAAACAACCCGAAACCACAGTAACTGTTGTACAGGCTCCTGTCGAAGAACAGCCCGAAGAAATTAAGGAACTTCCTGAAGAAGTTCGTGTTATTGAGTCGGTTTCTGAAGATGGTAAACCGAAGAAGAAGGTTGTTCGCACTCGTGTTATCAAGAAGGTCAAGGGTGATAAACAAGAAGTCACAAAGATTGAGACCGTTGAAGAAGACGACAAACAACCCGAAACCACAGTAACTGTTGAAGAGGCTCCTATTAAAGAACAACCCGAAGAAATTAAAGAACTTCCGGAAGAAGTTCGTGTTATTGAGTCGGTTTCTGAAGATGGTAAACCCAAGAAGAAGGTTGTTCGCACTCGTGTTATCAAGAAGGTCAAGGGTGACAAACAAGAAGTCACAAAGATTGAGACCGTTGAAGAAGGCGACAAGCAACCCGAAACAACAGTAACTGTTGAAGAGGCTCCAGTCGAAGAACAGCCCGAAGAAATTAAGGAACTTCCTGAAGAAGTTCGTGTTATTGAGTCGGTTTCTGAAGATGGTAAACCCAAGAAGAAGATTGTTCGCACTCGTGTTATCAAGAAGGTCAAGGGTGATAAACAAGAAGTCACAAAGATTGAGACCGTTGAAGAAGACGACAAACAACCCGAAACCACAGTAACTGTTGAAGAGGCTCCTGTCGAAGAACAGCCCGAAGAAATTAAGGAACTTCCTGAAGAAGTTCGTGTTATTGAGTCGGTTTCTGAAGATGGTAAACCCAAGAAGAAGGTTGTTCGCACTCGTGTTATCAAGAAGGTCAAGGGTGATAAACAAGAAGTCACAAAGATTGAGACCGTTGAAGAAGACGACAAACAACCCGAAACTACGGTAACTGTTGAAGAAGCTCCTATGGAAGAACAGCCCGAAGAAATTAAGGAGCTTCCTGAAGAAGTTCGTGTTATTGAGTCGGTTTCTGAAGATGGTAAACCCAAGAAAAAGGTTGTCCGCACTCGTGTTATCAAGAAGGTCAAGGGTGATAAACAAGAGGTCACAAAGATTGAGACCGTAGAAGAAGAGGACAAACAACCCGAAACCACAGTAACTGTTGAAGAGGCTCCAGTAGAAGAACAGCCCGAAGAAATTAAGGAACTTCCTGAAGAAGTTCGTGTTATCGAGTCTGTTTCTGAAGATGGTAAACCCAAGAAGAAGGTTGTCCGCACTCGTGTTATTAAGAAGGTCAAGGGTGACAAACAAGAAGTCACTAAGATTGAAACCGTAGAAGAAGACGACAAACAACCCGAAACCACAGTAACTGTTGAAGAGGCTCCAGTCGAAGAACAGCCCGAAGAAATTAAGGAACTTCCTGAAGAAGTTCGTGTTATTGAGTCTGTTTCTGAAGATGGTAAACCCAAGAAGAAGGTTGTCCGCACTCGTGTTATCAAAAAGGTCAAGGGTGACAAACAAGAAGTCACTAAGATTGAAACCGTAGAAGAAGACGACAAACAACCCGAAACCACAGTAACTGTTGAAGAGGCTCCAGTAGAAGAACAGCCCGAAGAAATTAAGGAACTTCCTGAAGAAGTTCGTGTTATCGAGTCTGTTTCTGAAGATGGTAAACCCAAGAAGAAGGTTGTCCGCACTCGTGTTATCAAGAAGGTCAAGGGTGACAAACAAGAAGTCACTAAGATTGAAACCGTAGAAGAAGACGACAAACAACCCGAAACCACAGTAACTGTTGAAGAGGCTCCAGTCGAAGAACAGCCCGAAGAAATTAAGGAACTTCCTGAAGAAGTTCGTGTTATCGAGTCTGTTTCTGAAGATGGTAAACCCAAGAAGAAGGTTGTCCGCACTCGTGTTATCAAGAAGGTCAAGGGTGACAAACAAGAGGTCACAAAGATTGAGACCGTAGAAGAAGAGGACAAACAACCCGAAACCACAGTAACTGTTGAAGAGGCTCCAGTAGAAGAACAGCCCGAAGAAATTAAGGAACTTCCTGAAGAAGTTCGTGTTATCGAGTCTGTTTCTGAAGATGGTAAACCCAAGAAGAAGGTTGTCCGCACTCGTGTTATCAAGAAGGTCAAGGGTGACAAACAAGAAGTCACTAAGATTGAAACCGTTGAAGAAGACGACAAAGAACCTGAAAAAACGGTTACAATCGAAGAAACTCCTGTTGAGGAGCAGCCAGAAGAAATTAAGGAACTTCCTGAAGAAGTTCGCGTTGAAGAGTCTATTTCAGAAGATGGTAAACCAAAGAAAAAGACTGTTCGTACTCGTGTTATTAAAAAGGTTAAGGGCGATAAAGAAGAATTGACTACTATAGAAACTGTCCAAGAGGATGGCAAAAAGCCAGAAACCATTGTTACAGTCGAGGAATCTCCAGCTCTACAAGACAAGACATCTCCTTTAAAACTAGTAAAACTTAAGAGAGTTGTTCGAGTGAAACAACCTGATGATGAAGAAATTGTTGTAGAACTTCCTGAGCAAAAATCTGTTATTATAGACCAAAAGGAAGATGGTACGCCCACAAAAACTGTTGTAAAAACTAAAATTATAAAGAAAATCAAAGGACCAAAAATGGAAATAACAAAGATTCAAACCGTTGAAGAATTTGAAAAAGAACCAGTAACAAAGGTTACAGTGCAGGATTACGACGAACCATTCCCTGAGGTAATGGAAGAGAAAGTTGTGCCAGTTGTTGAGTTACCTGAAGAGAATATTGTTGAAGATTACACCGCCCCAGATGGAACCACAAAAACAAGAAAGATCAAAAAGAAAACAATCAAGAAACCTCTTGATGACAAATCCGACGAAGTCACTGAAATTCAGATTGTGGAAGAAGAGGGTGAAGAGCCCAAATATTTGATTACTGTCAAGGAAATTGACAAAACGGATGCTGATGTCACTGATTTTACACCATCTCTGGAATTGCCTGAACAACACACAGTGTTGGAAACTCAAACTTCTGACGGTAAGACAAAGAAGAAAACCGTAAAAACAAGATCATTCAAAAAGCCCATGGATGAAGAAAAGGATGAAATCACTACGATTCAATTTGTTGAACATGACGATGACAAACCCATTGCCACTGTTAAAATCGAGGAGACACCCACTGATGAAATGTCTACCGAACCGATACCAATTGAAGAATTACCCGAGGAAATTGTTGAAGCTGAAATCATAGAAGAGGGTAAAAAACCTAAAAAGAAAACTACCAAAACCCGTACTTTTAAAAAGGATGTCTCACCTGAGCCCGAATTCTATCAAATTCAAACAGTTGAGGAAGAAGGACAAGAGCCTTATTCCTTAATACAAGTTGTAAGCGAAGAGGATCTCACAAACATTATCGACATTAGTAGTTTAGCTGATGAACAACAACCAAAACAACCTACAACAAAAACACATAAACACAAAAAGCCCAAGGGTAAGAATCCAAACACTTTACACTATATAACTTTCTTTCTCTCTCTCTCTCTCTTTCTGTTGATCCCAACAAAATTTTTTATTACACTTTTACACTATATTCTGAAGAACAACACAACTCTTACTAACATTTCTTATGGCCACTTTACTACATTAAAAAATATACAATATTTATATATGTATATAAATATATGTACTATAAATTATTATATTATTCTATAAATCTATCAATCATTTCTAAGAACACTATTTAACATTATATCTATATTTATATCTTACCATCAAATTGTATTTAAATACAAAATCCAACAACACATTTGTTACATACTTACACAAAATCACACCCCAAAAAACAACAAAAACACAGAAGAAAAGCCGATCCAAGAACAGACAAAGGATGAAAAACCTGTATTTATTACAACATTCAAATCAGTACAAAATGAAGACGGTGAAACAGTCATTGAGACCGAAAGTAAGAAGATCACACAAGAGGAGGGAGTTCTGGTCGAAGAAGTCCTTAGTGATACTGAAACGGCTAAAGAACAAGATGAAGAAACATCACCCTCGAAAATAGAAATTGTTGAAGTCAACGATATCACAGGTATATTTTTTAACTTTATTCTATATCTAAAATATTTCTATTCAACGATTTTCTAAACAATCAATGTTTTAAAAGAGGGAATATGAAAAAAAAAACAAATTATATACATGTTTCAATACATTCGAATAAGGTGCGATCAAAATGTTGGATTAGTTCAGGCATGGAATTGGTGCAGTACCAACTCTAGTCTATTGACTAGGTAGTAGACTAGTCAATCGATTATTCCATAGACTAGTTCATAGACTAGTTAATAGACTTATCTCTAGACTGATCAATAGACTAGTCCACTTAGGCTAGTCCATAGACTATCCAATAAGCTAGTCCATAGACTATATAATAGACTAGTCAATAGACTATCTAATAGCCTAGTCCATATATTAGTCCATGGACTAATCAATAGACTAGTCCATGGATTAGTTCATAGGCAATAGACTAGTCCATACTAGATAATAAACTAGTCCATGTATTATTTCATAGAGAATAGACTAGTCCATACTAGACTAGTCAATAGGATAGTCCATAGACTACCCAATAGGCAAGTCCACAGACTAGTCAGTAGTCTAGTCCATAGACTAGTAGGTAGTCTAGTCCATATACTAGTCAGTAGTCTAGTCCATAGACTAGTCAGTAGTCTAGTTCATAGACTAGTCAGTAGTCTAGTCCATAGATTAGTCAATAGACCAGTCAATAGGTTATTCCATAGACTAGTCAATAGATTAGTCCATATAATAGCCAAAAGTCTAGTCCATAGACTAGTCATGGACTAGACCATGGAAAGTTTGTAGACTTGTCAATAGACTAGTTAATAAACTAATCCGTAGACTAATCCATAGACTAGTCCGTAGACTATTACATAAACAAGTCCATAAAGTAGTCTATAGACTTGATTATAGAATCGTCTATATACTAATCCGTAGACTAGTCAATAGAAAATTTTCCATGACTGTTTAAAAAAAAAAATCAGAATTTTTAATGACCATTATTTTGATCGCACTTTCGTCTAGGGCTAATGAGTGATATTTGTTAGGGAATTTTTCAATTAATTTAGCGGTTAGAAGAAGTTTTCCCCTAAAGTAACAAAAACTGAATAATGAAGACACGAAAGAATTCTTTAAAGAAAACGTATCGTATAAACAACATTATTAAACTCCCGGTTAAATATAGATCTCTATAAGATCATATTTTTTCTTCTCAGACTGTGTATTTTTTAACACAAAAAAAAACAAACATTCCACTGAAATCTATTCCAAGTTTACGAAACTCCCCACTTATAGACTTTACCAAACAAAACTATTATATTAATATTTATAATCAACTGAATCAATAAATAAGAAATAAAACTAACCACTCACAAATTTACACCGAATGGAATATATTAAAATACAAGACAATTACAAATATATTCATGTTCAAAAAAATATTTTATTAAAAGCGAAAGCGAAAAATAAGTACAAATTAACTTGTGTAGTAAAACTAACCATAAAAATTAATACCAAACAAATACTTAACCCGAATTTATCACAATTTACCAATATTGATACAAACAACAACTATCAATCCTTGAAATACACACACACACATACTAACACTTAATTTAAGCATTAGAAAAATAATTAGTTAGGAAGAATGTTTCGCAATACAATGAGTTGAAGAAAACGTTATACAATAAAACAAAAATATTTTTTATGCCAACTAGACCAAGATACAAAACCTTACACTATAACCGAACCTGATGATGTTGTAAGTGAAGACACAACACAAACAGAGCAAACAGAAACGCCCAAACAAAAGACAAAAACGAAAAAGCCAAAAACGACCAAATTTAATGTAATTGAAGAGCAGCCGGAAGAACAACCCGTAACGGTTGAGTTCCTGCCAGAGGAAATAATGGAAGTAGAATTGCCAACTGTAGAAGATCAAGATGATGTAAAGGAACAACAGCAAACTACTACGATCAAGAAACGCAAGATTAAGAAAAAGATCGGTGATCAAGAGCAAACTATTGAGGTGATCACTACCCAAAAACCAGGTCAAGAGGAGGAGGTTACAGTGGTTGTAACGGAAGACGATAAACCAGAAGAAAAACCGGACGAATGGAAGGTTAAGGTGACTGACAGTAAGGTAGAAAAACCCAAAGACAAACCCAAGAAAAAACCGACTAAGAAAAAGCTCAAGAAAGACGAACTGGACGATTACATACAATTCCTTATACACCAGGAAATACCCAAGACTGTTTTACAAGAATACAAACGTACCGAAATGGAACAACCTCAGAAAGCACGTCGTGATTCATCGGTGCCACAGCTGAAACCCATTAAACTTGTACCCATGAAAATTGAACGTGTCGAGGTGAAGAAATCTCGTATGCTAGAAATCTCTTCGGTGGCAGAATTCCCACAAATGCTTAAACTTAAAACACCCAAACAAAGACCCGAACAAGTTAAACCCAAAAAGGAGAAGGTGCCCTTCAAAACCAAACTCAAGAGTTGGATTAACTTTGTACCCTATGCGCCCTATAACTTCAAACTGATCATAACCGATCTCGAGACCAAACGGGGTCAAGGTGAGCTATCACGTAATATAGAAGAAGCTTTAGTGGTGCTCAAGAAGCGTCCCAAGAAATTCAAGCCAACCGAGTTCACCAGCGAGGAATTGGAACAACCTTCCCTCTACGAGGAAGAAGAAATTCCCAAAGAAGAACCTGAAAAACTCGAAACAAAATATAAACGTCCCAAAAAACCCAAAAAGGAAGAGGAACAGCCCGAAGAACGTAAACTTAAACTAGGCAAGGGTAAAATACCTCAAATTGAAGAACAAATAGAACAAGTTGTTCTTAAACCATTTACCATTGAAGAAACCCAAGAAGCTGAAATAGCCGAAAAGCCTAAAGTCACAGAAGAGGCCAAGAAAAAGAAGAAACCCAAAAAGCGTCAAGAAGATGCTAGCGATATCAAATTCCAGCCACAAGATATTGAACAACCTGAATCAGATACAGAGTCTGTAACAAAGGTTGTGGAAGTCATTGAGTATCAGCCGGAAATTATTGAAGAACAGCCAACGGAAGAACAAGATCAAAAGAAACCTAAAACCAAAAAGAAGAGGAAAATTTTACAGAAAACCGAATCTTCTGAAAATATTATCGAAATTGTTGAGATTCCCAGTGACAAACCAGACGAAGAGGAAAAACTATACGAAATTATAGTGACCTCAAGTCAAGTGGATGAAACAGATACAGTACAGCCGGTGGTAACAAAGAAAAAGAAGAAACTGGCCAAGCTAAAGCCTCAGGAATTGGAAGAGTTTGTTAGTGAGCTACAAGAACAACCGGTTGACGTGATTGAGGATAATTTCTATGAAGTTTCTCTAACGGAATTGCAACCTACAGAAGAAACCGAAGAAGTGACAGATGAAACCAAGAAATCTGTCAAGAAACGCAAACTTCATCACAAAAAGGGCAAGGAAGAGCAAATTATAGAAATTATTGAAGCTCCTACCCAAGAAGGTGAAGAACCTGTCTATGAAGTTTTGGTCACTGACTTAGAAGGCTCTGTCATTGAAGAACAACCAGAAGAGACTCCTGAGAAAAAGAAGAAAAAACCCAAGAAAATGAAAAAGCACGAATTGGATGCTTACATTCAACAGTTGATAGAAGCTGAAATTCCCAAGACCGAGCTGGAACAATATGAAAAAATTGAGTTCGGTCAACGACCCAAAAAGGCCAAGAAAACCAAATCACAACCCAAAAAGGAACAGCCACAAGAAGGCGAACAACTCGAAATTGGTATATCAGAGTTCGAGCCAGTTGAAGAAAAACCCAAACAAAAGAAATCCAAACCTCGTCCTAAACCAGAACAACCACAAGAAGTTCCACGCGAAGAAACGACCTATGAAGAATTACAAGTTCAAGTAACGGAAAGTATGCCTGAAGAAGAGGAAAAACCCAAACATGAAACAGAACATATTAAGCTTCACGAATTGTTGGCACCAGAAGAACTTAAGGATGCCAAGGTAATTGTCGAAGAGGTTACCGAACAAACGGAGACTGTAACAGAAACCACCAAAGAGGGTGAGCTTAAGGAAAAGACCAAAACAAAACGTAAAATTAAAAAGAAGGTGGGCGATCGCGAATATGAAGTTCTTGTAATTGAAGAGCAAACCGATAAGCAGCCCGAAGTAGAAGTTACGGTTATAACCACAGAAATAACACCAGAACAGCCTGCTGAAATCGGTGTTGAAGAAAAGCCTCGCAAACCTAAAAAGGTTAAAAAGACTCTTAAGGAAGAAGAACTAAAGGATTATTTGGTAAGCGTTATCAATGAAGCTCCTGAAAAGCTGGAAACCACTCGTATTGTGGAAGAAGTCAAACCCAAAGAGAAGCCACAACCAGATGAAATTGATGGTTCCATATACTCGGTCAAAACAACCGTAGAAGAGGAGTCGGAAACGGAAGAAACTAAACCCGAAGAAGAAGACGAATTAAAGGAAACTCCAAAAACTAAGAAATCCAAACCAATCAAAACCAAAAAGGTTAAAATAACAGAAACAACAGAAGAAAAGGTTGAGGATATACCACAAGAAATAACCGTAACTGAGGTGGAAGAACAACCAGCCGAAAAACCCACCGAGGAGGACTTCAAATTTGATATTAGTGAAGAAAAGCCAAAGGAAAAACCTAAAACAAAACGTACCAAACCCAAGAAACCCGAAGAAACTGTCAAGGAATATTCGGTTGTTATACAAGAACTTCAACCGGAAACTATCACTCAAGAAATTGTGGACGAAACCGGTGAAGAAGTGAAACAGACGGTGACTAAGAGAAAACTTAAGAAGAAGGAATATCTTATTGAGATAGTAGAATCCTTTGTCGAAAATAAGCCAGAGTCTGAGCTGGAAATTATAACAACCGAAATTGTTCCTGAAGATATGCCGGAAGACTTGAAACCAGAACCGGTAACAGTTAAGAAAATCAAAAAGAAGAAATCATTAAAGGATGATCATGATGCTTATATACAAAAGTTAATCGAACAAGAAATTACCAAAACCGATTTAGAACAGTATGAACCAACCGATATTGAAACCAAACCTAAGAAAAAGCCAAAGACCATTAAGAAACACCATAAGAAAACTACTGAGATTGTAGATGGTGTAGCTGTTACAGTCCATGAATTCGATATCGAAGAGGTGGTGCCTCAAGAAGAAGATATTGAAGAACAACCATTTGAAGTTGTTGAAAAGGAAGCACCAGCTGAGGAAAAAACTCCTGACAGTTTCGAAATCGGTATGAAAGAAGAGCAATCGATTGAAGAAAAGCCCAAGGTAACAGAACTTAAGCCCAAAACGAAGAAGGTCAAAAAGCCAACCACTAAAGAGGTGGTTGAAGAAGCTCCTGTAGTTGTAGAGGAAATCGAACAGACCACAGAAGTCATTGAACAACCAGATGAAACTGGTGAAATCAAAAAGAAAACCGTAACTAAACGTAAGATAAAGACTAAGACGGGACCAGAAGAAAAGGTATTCGAAATCTCCGAAACTACACACGAAGATCAACCAAATGCTGAAATTACCATACAAGAAATAACTGAAACCCAAGAACAGCCCGAAATCGTCGAAGAAAAACCACAAGCTAAGAAACCAGTCAAGAAATCCAAGAAAGTACCCAAAGAACAAATACAAGATTTTGTCATTAACGTCATTGAAGAGTATGTGACACCCACCGTTTACGAGGAAGAAAAGCAACCTGTAGCGGTGGAAGAATTCGAGGAAACTACTGAAACTGTAGAGCAACCCACTGAGACTGGTGAAATTAAAAAGAAAACCGTTACTAAACGTAAGATTAAAACAAAGTCTGGACCAGAAGAGAAAGTTTTCGAAATTGTGGAAGTTACTCACGAAGATCAGCCTAATGCCGAAATAACTGTGGTGGAAATTACTGAAGCTGAAAAGCCAGTAGAAGAAGAAAAACCAAAAGAAAAGAAACCTCTCAAGAAAACAAAGAAGGTACCAAAGGAACAGATGCAAGAGTTCATTGCCAATGTTATTGAGGAATATGTTAAGCCAGAAGAACCCAAAGAAGAACAGCATACGGTTACCGTAGAAGAAACCGAAGAAAAGCCCACTGTGGTGGAAGAAATTGAGAAGACTACCGTAGTAGTGGAAGAAGAAGATACTACGGGTCAAGTTAAACCCAAGACGGTAACAAAACGCAAGGTCAAGACAAAGACTGGTCCGGTAGAAAAGGTATTTGAAATATCTGAAGTCACAGAAGAGGGCAAACCCACCAGTGAAGTGACCCTATTTGAAGTCACCGAAAGTGAAGACACTCCCAAGGATGAGGAACAACCCAAAGAAAAGAAAATTGTTAAAAAGCCCAAGAAAATCACCAAAGACCAATTGGAAGACTATTTTGTTAATGTTATAGAAGAATATGTACAACGTGAAGAGGAAGCACCCGAAGAGTTGCCCATTTCCGTGGTCGAAATTGACAAGAAGGAAGAAGTCATCGATGTGATCGATGAGGAGGGCAAAGTCAAAAAGCAAACGGTAACCAAACGTAAAATAAAGAAACAAGTCGGTCCTAAGGAGGAGATCATAGAAATTGTTGAAACTCAACGGGAAGATCAACCCGTGGCCGAGGTAACTGTTACCACCACAGAAACCGAAGAAACAGAGGACACATCTAAGCCTCAGGAAGAAAAGGCAGCCAAACCAAAGAAAACCAAAAAGGTTAAAAAGGATGAGTTGGAGGATTATATTATGAAATTAATTGAACAAGATATACCAAAAACCGAGTTAGAGAAATATGAAAAGATCGACATTGATGAGCCAATCAAATTGAAAAAGAAACCCAAGAAAGAGGTTCTACAAAAACCAGAAAAGCCACAACAAAAAACCAAAGACAAACCTAAAGAACAACCTAAACAAGAGGTACGTGTAGAAGAAAGTCAACCCGAAGAGGAAGAAACAGTTTTCCCAGTTCATGTAGAAGAGCTGGAGAAACAAGAAGAATTGGTACAAGTGACAGACGAACAGGGTGACATTAAAACACAAAAGGTTATCAAGCGTAAAATAAAGAAACAAGTTGGACCTAAAGAGGAAATAATAGAAATTGTCGAGACTCAAAAGGATGACTCGCCTGTAGCTGAAATTACGGTAACCACACTAGAACCGGAAAGTGTTGATGAGCAACCTACCGAAGAGAAAGTCAAAAAACCCAAGAAAACTAAAAAAGTAACCAAAGACGAGTTGCAAGACTATATACAGAAACTCATAGAGGAAGATATTCCTAAGACTGAACTGGAAACTTATGAAAAGATTGACATAGAAAAACCGGTGAAACTCACAAAGAAACCAACGCATAAGGTTAAGAAAGTAGAACGCAAACCAGAGGCTGTTGAAAAGCCAGAAACCAAAGAAATTACCACTGAGGAAACCCAACTAGAAGATGAAGAAACACCCAAAGAAACATATGAAGTTTCCCGAAAGGATGAAGAACAACCAGAGACAAAACCAGAAGAAGAAGCCGAAATTCCTGTACAAGAAGACAAGGAGAAGAAGGTGGTCAAGAAACCCAAACATAAGGTTAAGCAGGTTGAAGAACAACCACAGAAACCAGAGGAAACTTTGCCGGAACATGAAATACATGTCGAGGAAACTGTTCCTACTGCCAAACAAGATGAAGTCTTTGAAATTAAGGAAACTGAAGAGGAGATTAAACCAACTCCTGAACGCAAGAAGCCCAAAGAAAAGAAGCACAAACCCGAAACTAAACATCCCGAAGAGGTGGAAGATTTCGAGGTAACATTAAAGGAAAGCTCACCGGTTCCTCAAGAACACGAACCATTCAAAATTGAAGTTATTGAAAGTCAAACTGAGGTACAAGAAAACCTTAACGAAGAGGGAGTTGTTGAAAAACAAACTATAACCAAACGTAAAATTAAGCGCCAACAGGGTCCTAAAGAAGATATTATCGAAATAATTGAAGTCAAAACAGACGATAAACCCGAGGTTGAAGTCACCGTGGTGGAAACACAGCCAGAGGAAGATAAGCCCGATGAAATCAAACCAGCCAAAAAGAAAACCAAAAAAGTTAAAAAGGACGATCTGCATGATTACATACAAAAGCTTATCGAGGAAGATATACCCAAAACAGAGCTGGAAAAATACGAAAAAATAGAGTTTGAAACAAAACCCAAAGACAAAGAAAAGGATAAGCAATATCCAGTGGAACAGAAGGAAGAACAACCCAAAGCCACTGAAGAAGAAAAACCCAAGAAAAAGCCAAAATCTAAGAAACCAAAAGAAGATGAAGAAGATCACACTGTGGCTAAAATATCTGTAGTAGAGGAAGAAGTTCCCAAGGAAGAACCTCAGCCGGTGGTAGAGATCTTAGAAACTGAACCAGTTGAAGTAAAAGTCGAAGAGGTGCCCGATGAACAGGGTAAACCCAAACAGAAAACCACTAAGAAACGTGCCTTCACCAAGAAAGTCGACAACGAAGAAGATGCCACCATACATGTGGTCACCATACAAGATGAAGATAGTCCTGAGGTTACAATTATAATCGATGAACAACCCATCGAACAGCCAGTTACCAGCGATGAAACAGAAAAATCCACTCAAGAAAAGCCCATCGTTAAGAAACCCAAGAAAATCGTTAAGAAAGTACAGAAAGACCAAGTTGACGACTATATACAAAAACTAATTGACGAAGAAATACCCAAGACTACACTCGAACAATACGAAAAAGTCGAAATGCCCGACAAAACAGACTCCAAACCCACTAAACCCACAGAACAAACTGAACAGCCTAAGAAGGATAAAAAGAAAACACCGAAACCTTCCAAAGTAACAGCCGTCGAGGAAAAGCCCGACCAAACAGAAACCCCCGACACAATACACGAAATCAAAACCACAGAAACACACACTGAACCACAAGAAGAAATTGAAGAGATAACACAACCAGAACATAAGCCTGAGGACACTGAACAAATCACACCCGATTCTCACAAGGTCACAACAACAGAGGAAACAAAAGATACAAAAACAACAACTAAACACAAAACTAAACCTAAAAAACAAACAAGTAAGTGTTGTGGAGCTTATCTACAAACCACCAAAAAAACTATAAATAATGATGGTAGCCAAACTTGTGTTTTTCACTCTTTTTCTAATTGCCGTTTATTTTCCCGCCCTCCCTTTTTTAAAAATAAAACGAAAACTTATCTCCCTTTGGCGCGTCTTCACACACTCCTCCCTTTGCTAAAACCATTCCTATCTCTTCTACTCCCTACTTTTTGTTTTGTCTTCAACCTTTTTTTTGTGCGTTGGAATAGCATTTCCGCCTCTGATGCTGCCTCCCTGTCTTCAACTATTGCTTAATTTGTTTTTTCCACCTTTTTCAACTGTTTTTTTTTTTTCTAGATTTAAGTTTTTCTATATAAATTCCTTAACTCAACAAACACAGTATTAAACACTGCATGGCTATATTAATAATACTGTAGTCACTAATTTTTAAATATTTTTTTTAAGGCTTTAACTGCTTTTGTAATTAAACAAAAATAAACCGAAATTTTATCTATCGTTTAAGAACAAAACTCTATTAAAAAACATAGAACGAATTTATTTAAGATATAATGTGGAGAAATTAAAAAAAAAATAGATGTATATAAATCGGAAATTTCTAAAAGTAATTTCTAAAATTATAGAAGAGAAATTTTTCGAAAATTTTCTATAAAAAGAGAAATTTTGTCGAAAATTTCTTTTAAAAAGAGGAATTTTTGGAAAATTTCCCATGAAAAGAGGAATTTTTGGAAAATTTCCTAAAAAAAGAGAAATTTTCAGAAAATTTCCTAAAAAAAGAGAAATTTTCAGAAAATTTCCTAAAAAAAGAGAAATTTTCAGAAAATTTCCTATAAAAGAGAAATTTTTATAAATTTCCTGTAAAAGAGACATTTTTCGAAAATTTCCTATAAAAGAGACATTTTTCCAAAATTTCCTATAAAAGAGAAATTTTTCGAAAATTTCCTATAAAAGAGAAATTTTTCGAAAATTTCCTATAAAAGAGAAAATTTCCTATAAAAGAGAAATTTTTCGAAAATTTCCTATAAAAGAGAAATTTTTCGAAAATTTCCTATAAAAGAGAAATTTTTCGAAAATTTCCTATAAAAGAGAAATTTTTCGAAAATTTCCTATAAAAGAGAAATTTTTCGAAAATTTCCTATAAAAGAGAAATTTTTCGAAAATTTCTTATAAATGAGAAATTTTTCGAAAATTTCCTTTAAAAGAGAAATTTTTCGAAAATTTCCTATAAATGAGAAATTTTTCGAAAATTTCCTATAAATGAGAAATTTTTCGAAAATTTCCTTTAAAAGAGAAATTTTTCGAAAATTTCCTATAAAAGAAAAATTTTTCGAAAATTTCCTATAAATGAGAAATTTTTCGAAAATTTCCTATAAATGAGAAATTTTTCAAAAAATTTCTATAAAAGAGAAATGTTTCGAAAATTTCCTATAAAAAGAGAAATGTTTCGAAAATTTCTTATAAAAAGAGAAATGTTTCGAAAATTTCCTATAAAAAGAGAAATGTTTCGAAAATTTCCTATAAAAAGAGAAATTTTTCGAAAAAAAAGAGAAATGTTTCGAAAATTTCCTATAAAAAGAGAAATGTTTCGAAAATTTCCTATAAAAAGAGAAATGTTTCGAAAATTGCCTATAAAAAGAGAAATTTTTCGAAAATTGCCTATAAAAAGAGAAATTTTTCGAAAATTTACTATAAAAAGAGAAATTTTTCGAAAATTTCCTATAAAAAGAGAAATTTTTCGAAAATTTCCTATAAAAAGAGAAATTTTTCGAAAATTTTCTATAAAAAGAGAAATTTTTCGAAAATATCCTATAAAAGAGAAATTTTTCGAAAATTTCCCATAAGAAGAGAAATTTTTCGAAAATTTCCTATAAAATGAGAAATTTTTCGAAAATTTCCTATAAAAGAGAAATTTTTCAAAAATTTTTCGAAAATTTCCTGTAAAAAGAGAAAATTTTCGAAAATTTCCTGTAAAAAGAGACTTTTTTTTGAAAATTCCCTATAAAAAGAGAAATTTTTCAAAAATTCCGTATAAAAAGAGACATTTTTCGAAAATTTCCTATAAAAGATGAATTTTTCGAAAATTTTTTATAAAAAGAGTCATTTTTCGAAAACTTCCTATAAAAAGAATTTTTTTTTGGAAATTTCCTCTAAAAGAGAAATTTTTCCAAAATTAATCTAAAAAAAGAGAAAATGTCGAATATTTTTATGAAAAAGGGAAATTTTTGAAAAAAATTTTAAAAAGAGAAAACTTCCTAAAATCTCTTTAAAAAGAGAAAATTTTCTTTAAGAGAGAAAATTTCATAATTTTTTATATAAAAGAGAAATTTTCGAAAAACTTTGCAAGAAAAACTTTAGCGAAACCGGTATTTTAAGAAAATCTGATATGAAAAGCAAGTTCTGAGTTCAGATTCGGATCAACTCAACCCTTTAGAAAAATATACTCTTGTATCCGGGTTAAAAATACTTTGGCCTATGTTATTATAGTCTGAATATACCCTTTTGGAAATTAACGATGTATTTAACATTTCTTTTTAAATTTCACCACATTTACCCAAAAAAAGTAGTACACATAAGGAAAATCGTTGGGACCGACTTCTTTCAGAAGAACATACAAATCATAATCCTATTAAAAAAAATAAAGTTACTAACAAAATTAATTCAAATTAATGACAAAATTGACAAATTAATAGACTAAAAATATCTAAATTTATATGTCGGGACAGGGGTTAATAATTATCAATTTTTGGCACAATATATATCAAAATTTAGAAGTTATTATTCTTAAAAATGACATTTGTATATAACAACAACAAAAACAATTTCAGTTCCATTAATTACCCGCAGTTTAATGCAGAGCAATTTGTAAAACGCCAAGTAATATAATGAACTATTTTCCTCTATCTATGTTACATCCTCTTATATGTACAAATAATACCTTTTAAATAGCTATTTTTATTTAATCAAAAACCAACCTATTTCTTTCCCTACTTTATGTAAATATATACATCTTTGCCTTAACTTTTGAAAACTTTACTTTTATTTCTTCTTCTTTTTTTAAATAAATACAATAATGTCCTTTCATTTTAATTAAAAACAAAAACAACAAACAAAAAAATGCCTTAATTTCTGTGAAATAACTCCTTTGCTGGCTTTCTATTAAATGTGTATTTGCCCTTTTATGAAATTAGGTGAAGAACCCATAGTCCATAAGGATTATCAAATTAACGTTATTGAGGAGGAGCCCGAGGAGAAGGAAGATGAAGAGGAGAAACCCGAAATCGAAACCATCGAAGAACGCCCTGAAGAAGCAGAAGAATCTCATCCTATTGAGGTGGTCGAAGAGGAGGAACAAGTTCCCGAAACTACCGAAGATACAGTTGAAGATGCCACCAAACCCAAGAAGACTAAGAAGAAGGTAGTGAAGAAGAAGACTGATGACCATGATGCCATTATACAAAAGTTATTGGAGCAAGAGATTGAAAAGACCGAACTCGAAAAATACGAAAAGGTTGAGTTTGACAAACCCAAGAAGGCCAAGCCGGAAATGTCGAAATTAGAGCCCATCAAGATCGAGCGCAGGGAACAGAAACCCAAGAAGGTGGTTATTGTTGATGCTGCCGAAGTACCCCAAATGGTTAAATTGAAACCATCGAAACGCAAGGAGAAACCCACCGAGGAACAAGTAGTGCAATTACCTAAATTCAAACTTAAGAGTCGCATGGTTATGGTTGAATATCCTCCAGAGCCTCTTAAAGCCATCATCACTGAAATCGGTGCCCAAAGATCAGCTGGCGATTTGTCCAGAAACATTGAAGAGGCCGAGGCATTGCTTAAGTTCAAGCCCTATAAACCCAAGAAGATCAAGAAGATTAAGGACGATTTGGAAAAGGTAGAGCTGGAGAAATACGAAAAGTATGTAAGCAGCGAAGAGGAACCAGAGGAGAAGGCTCCCTACAAGAAACCCGAAAAACCCAGCAAGCCAGAAGAAAAACAAGAAGAAGTGCAAATTAAGCTGGGCAAGGGCAAAAAGAAGCCAAAGGAAGAAGAACAACCCGAAGCGGTAACACTTAAGAAAATACCACAAAAACCTCAGCAAGCCGAAGAGGTTAGCGAAGATAAGACTGTCAAGAAACATGCAGTTGTTGTCAAAGAAGAGGAAGCCAAACCAGAAGAACCCAAATACGAAATGAAACCTTTGGAGCCACTTGACTTCGAAGATATTGAATATCCCAAAGAAGAACTAGAACCTCTAGAGTTCCCCGAAGAGCCCAAGAAGGACAAGAAGGAACCCAAACAAAAACATAAACCTAAACCAAAATCCAAACCAGAACAGGAAATGAATGTTACTCAAATCGTGCCAGGTGAACCCAAGCCCCAGGAAGAACAACCTGAAGAGGAAGTCAAATTCCGTATACCAGAAAGTACAAAGGAGGAAGAACCTAAGACTGAACATAAATTGAAACCAGTTAAAAAGGTTAAGGAAGAAGCACCCGCAGAAGATACCGTCAAATTGGTGCAAGAAGAACAGCCCAAAGAGAAATCTCCCTCACCCGCACCACAAGCGGAAGTCAAGGAAGTTAAGAAATCTAAAGCTAAAAAGGAAAAACCTGTGGAGAAGGCTAAATCCGAAGAAAAACCTGATGAACAATTTGAGATCTCCGTGCGTGAAGAACAAGTCGAACAAGAAACTCCTGTCGAAGAAACAGTCGATAAGGTGAAGATCAAAAAGAAGGTTCCCAAGAAAGATCAACCCATTGAGGAAGTTCAAGTTAAGGAAGAAGTTGTTGAACAACCTGAACAAGAAGAAATTCCTGTGGAATACAAGATAACCACTACCGTCATAGAACCAGAAGAGTTCCCAGAAGATTATAAGGTACGTGTTGTCGACACAGATGCCAAGGAGGTAACTGTCGAGGAGGTTATTGAAGAAAAGGTTGTTACCAGAAAGAAGAAGCCTAAAGCAACTGTTCCCGAAGAATATGAATTCACAGTTCAAGAACCCAAACAGCCAGAACCCAGCAAGGTAGAGGAAACTAGCGAAGAAGTAACAGTTGAGTTGCAAAAACCAAAAGAACCTGTTCCCGAAGAGGTTAAGGTCGAAGAGACTATTACTAAACCCATCGTAGAAGAAACGGTTGAAGAAGTCACCACTAAGAAGAAGAAACCAAAGAAGAAGCCTGAAGAAGAAGTTGCCACAGTTGAAGTCAAGGAAGAAAAACCTGTAGAAGAAGAAGTAAAGGAAGTACCTACAGAAGAAAAGGTTGAAGAAATTATTCCCGAAGTTGAAAAGCCCAAGGACTATCAATTCACGGTAAAAGAAACTGAGGCTGTTCAACAAGTTGTTGAGGAAGTTAAGGAAGTGGTTGAAGAGAAACCCAAACCTAAGCCAAAACCAGAGAAACCAGCTGAAGTCTTCCCAAGTTATGAAATCAAAACGGTTGAATCAGAAGCTGAAAAACCCATAGAAGTCGAAGAGGAACAACCAGAAGAAGTCAAATTCGCCATTAAGCCCAAGAAGGTTAAAGAAGTTCCTGAAGAATTTGAGGCTTCTGTAGCTTTGACAGAACCAAAACAAGTCGAAGAAACCGAAGTGGAAACTGTGGTCAAGACCAAGAAAACCAAGAAACCTAAGAAACCCGAAGAAGAGGTGGCTCAGCTAGAAGTTCAAGTTGTAGAAACCAAAGAACAGGAAGTCGTAGAGGAGGTCGTCATTGAAGAACCTAAAGTTGAGGAAATCGTACCTGAAAAGCCCAAGGAAAGAAAACCTGAAGAATACAAAATTAAGGTATCCGAAGAGGAGCACGTTCCTGAAGAAGAGGTGCCTGAGGCTCAATTTACAGTTAAACCTAAAGTTGTACAAGAAAAACCAACCGAAGAGCCCGAAGCTGAATTTGTCTTGAAGGAAACTAAACCTGTTGAACAGGTTACAGAAGAAGCTCAAATCAAAACTAAAAAGATCAAGAAGAAGCCCAAGGAAGAGGCCGCCGATGAATTGAAGATCAAGATTGTGGAAGAAGTTCCAGTTGAAAAACCAATCGAAATCGTAGAGGAAATAGAGGAAGTCGAATTCGTACCAAAGGAAGAGGCTCCCAAAGAAATTCCCAAGGATTATGAATTCAAACTTAAAGAATTCGAAATTCCAAAGGAAGAAGTGGTAGTAGAAGAAGTGAAAGAAGAGCCTAAGCCAGTGGAAAAACCAAAACCCAAAGAAGAACCGGTACAAGAGGTTAAGGTTGTTACAACTGTACCTACAGAAGAAGTTATTGAAGAAGAAGTCAAGACTGTGAAGAAGAAACCCAAGAAAACTAAGGAAGAACCAGAAGAAAAGAAGGTGACTGTGGTCGAAGAAATCGTGGAGAAACCCAAACCAGTTGAAGTTGAAGAGAAACCTGAAGAGGAAAAACCACAAGAAATCGTTGAAGAAGAAAAATACCCTGAACATCAAGTTAAGGTTATTGATGAGACTCCTCGTTATGTAACCGAAGAAGTTGAGGAACAAGAAGTACAAATACAACGTAAAAAGAAACCAACACCTAAAGTCACCGAAGAACCTGAAGAAGAAGTTGTTTTGAAACCCAAAAAACCAGTTGAAGATGTTGAAGAAACTAAGATAATCAAAAAGAAACCCAAACAAAAGGTTCCCGAAGAAGACCAAGCTGAACTAAAGGTGACGATTACTGAAGAAATTCCTCAAGAAACTGAATTGGTACAAGAAATTGAGGAGATTGAAGAAATTGAAGAGCAACCCAAGCCGCAAGAAGTTCCACAAGAACAACCCAAATCCTATGAATTTTCTGTTAAAGAAATGGAACCAGAAAAGGTCGTTGAAGAGGTGGAAGAAGTACCTGATGAGCAAGTTAAGCTTAAAAAGAAACCAAAGATCGTTCAGCCAGATGTAACAGAAGAACCTGAGGTGGAAATTTCCTTGAAACCCAAACCAGAAAAACAAGAAGCTCCTGAAGAGACAGCTATTGTTAAAAAGAAATCTAAGCCTAAAGCTAAGGAAGAACCAGAAGCTGAGCTTAAGATACAAGTCAGAGAGGAAGTTTCACCGGAGCCAGAAGTTCAAGTTATCGAAGAAATCGAAGAAGTGGTTGAAGCTCCCAAAGAAGAGCCACAAGAAGAAATACAAGAAGTAGTTTTCAAACCAAAGAAACCCAAGAAGAAGGAAGAGGAAGTTATTGAGGAAGATGTGACCATTAAGAAGCCCTCCGTTAAAAAGGAAGAGGAGGAGGAACAAGTCGTTGATGTCACATTGAAACCCAAAAAGGCACCTAAGGTAGAGGAACAAGATGTGGAAGTTGGTTTCAAATTACCCAAAGAAAAGCAAATTACACAAGAAACTTCGGAAGAAACGGTACAATTAAAGAAAAAGAAGAAGCCCGTTAAACCAACCGAAGAAGCGGCCGATGAGCTGGTACTTAAACAAGAAGAAGTTATTGAAAGACCAGTAGAAATCGAAGAAGAAGAAATCATCGAGGAGGCAGTAGTGATGCGCAGGAAACCCAAGAAACCTATTGAACCTCAAATCGAAGAACATGAGGAACAAGAGTTTAGTTTATCCTTCAAGAAACCACGCAAAATTGATGAGGGTGTGGCCGAAGAAGCCACTGTTCTCAAAAAGAGACCCAAGAAACCTCTCACCTCCGATGAGGCCGCCGCTGAATTACACATCAAACGCGAAGAGGAATACGAACCTGAAGAAGAGGAGGAAGTCGAAGAATTTGTAGTGGCTCAAAGACCTAAGCCTAAACCTAAACCATTGCAAGTAACCGAAGAAGATGAACAAGAATACACAGTTAAGAAACTGAAGCGTCGCAAGAAGGGTGTGGAAATTCCAGAATTTACCGAAGTGGAGAATGTAACATTCCGTCCTAAATTGACTAAGACTAAGGAAGATGTTGATCAAGAATTTAGCATCGCCTTAGATTCCTATGCCGAAGAAGAAGTTTCCATGTCCGGCAAGGTTAAGGTTAAGAAACCAATTAAGAAAACTTATTCCGAGGCTGGTGACGAACATCATATTAAGATTATGCAAGATTATGACGATGGTCAAGGTCCTATAATTGAGGAAATACGTGATGACAGCAGTATAGAAGATACTATGTACGATGTCGAAGAGCCCGAAGAATATCAAGTTGAAGAACTACCACCCGATGATGTAGACTTTACCCTCAAGCCCAGACAGAAACCTAAGCCAAGATACTCCATACAAGATGAGGAGGAAGAAGAACAATTCCTTATTGGCATTAGACGTCCTAAGAGCGATTCCGTTACTTATGATGAGGACTCACTTACGTTCAAGAAGAAACGTAAGGTCATTCAACAGGTCTTCAATGAAGGTCAGTATCTCAATAATTTTTTCGTATTCTCTTTTATTTAATTTGAAATTTTTAACAAGATCTAGGAACATTATTCATCTGCTTTAATATTTATGCTTTCAAACAATTCCAATTACAATTAGGGAATTTTCAGGAACATTTTTTCACTTAAAGCTTATATGATAACAGAGTATATATGCGAGGTAACAATTTTTGTGTAACCATGTGTACTTGTGCATCATAAAACAAATAATATATCACCCTAAATATCATGTTAACGTATTGTTTCTATGCAAACATTTAAAGGAATTTATGTTAATCGGAAAATTTTGCTTTATTTCCCACAACAGATGGCGCCTCTTTGAATATTACACGCGAAATGAATATTGAAGGTAAGTGGAGAACTTGCGACAGTCAATATTCCAGAAATTAACATTTTTCTCTTGTGTTTACAGAAGCCGACGAGGAGAATGTTATGTATTCGATTTGTAATTATGTAGCAGACTCTGATGAAGCCATGAATCTGGTGGAAGGTGAAAAGGTGCGTGTTGTTGGACGCCATAGTTCCGAATGGTGGTTTGTTAAGAAGACCATTACGGAAGAAGAAGGCTGGGTACCAGCTCAATATCTCATGGAAGCTGCTGAATACACACAATATGTGCAAAAGAAATTGCACGAAAAGATTGATAAACTACCTGTATTTGAACGTAAGTATAGTTCAAGCGATTTCAAATATTTGTTATCAGTACACCCGATATTTTGTGTAATTTACACGTAGTGATCTTGTCTTGTGATTAACATTTTGTTTCAATTGTTTTGTTTGTTTCGTTTTCCGTACAATGTAAAGGTCCCGGACCCCATGAAAAGCCCATGGCACCTAGATTTATAGAAAAATTGCAACCCATTCACACACCCGATGGTTATACTGTACAATTTGAATGCAAAGTTGAGGGTATGCCTAGACCACAAATCGCCTGGTTCCGTGAAACGGCTATTATTAAGCCTTCTCAAGACTTCCAAATGTATTATGATGATGACAATGTTGCTACATTGATTATACGTGAAGTATTCCCCGAAGATGCGGGACGCTTTACTTGTGTGGCCAAGAATGCAGCCGGTTTTACCTCTACCACTACCGAATTGGTGGTCGAGACTCCTTTGTCCGATCACGGTTCCGATGGTACAGCCATGTCTCGCAAGAGCATGTCTCGTGAATCCTCATTAGCCGATATACTCGAAGGTATACCACCTACTTTCTCACGCAAACCTAAAGCTCAATATGTCGATGAAGACACCAATGTCATATTGGAATGTCGTCTGGTGGCCGTGCCTGAACCCGATATTGTCTGGACTTTCGAAGGCGAAGAGATCGATACAACCACTATGAAGAATGTACGTGTTGTCACCGAATCCGATATGCACATGTACTGCAGTGTGGTACATATTAAGAAGGTCAAGAAATCTCAAGAAGGTACCTACGAGGTAATTGCCACCAATCGTGAAGGTGAATCTAGATTGCCTATAGTCTTGAAGGTGCGCACAAGTGAAAAGGAACCTCCTCAAGTATTGGAACCTTTACGCAACATGATCATACGCGAGGGAGAAAGTGCTGTGCTAACCACACAAATTGTCGGTAACCCCGCGCCCAAGATTACCTGGTATAAGGATGGCAAACCCGTTAAGGGTAATACTAAGACTGAGAAGGATATTCATACGTTGACTTTGATTTCACCCAAACGCGATCAAAAGGGCGAGTACACGGTCAAGGCTGAAAATCCTTTGGGTAGCGTAGAAACTTCGGCTAATTTGACTATCGAAGGTATATTGCAAAAATCCCCTTTTTATTTGTAAAGTCTATTTGTTATAAAATTTTTCGTTTATATTTTCCATCATTACGTTTGTTTAATATAACTTTACTTCCCTTACAGAACCACCCAGTGGCAATGCCGAACCTCCTCTATTTGTCGAACGCTTTGAGGAACAAAATGTTCCTCAGAAGGGCGTTATTCGCTTGCCAGCTAAGGTTACTGGTAATCCAGTGCCCGAAGTGGAATGGCTCTTCAACAACAATCCTCTATATCCCAATGAACGCATTCAACAAATCTACGATGGTGAAAATATTGAACTTATTATCAAAGATGCAAATCCCGATACCGATTCCGGTGATTACAAGTGTATTGCAAGCAATCCTTTGGGTAAGACTTCGCATGGTGCCCGTGTTATTGTAGAAGTCGATGAAGTTGTCTTCACTAAGAAACTTAAGGCTAAGATATCCATCGAAGAAGTGCAATCATTGACCTTAGAATGTGAGACCTCTCATGTGGTCTCCACCAAATGGTTCTTCAATGGCAAAGAACTTAGCGGTATGGATCATCGTGTAGTCGTCGAAGAGGGCAAGACCCATAAACTGGTTATAAAGAATACCAATTTGAGAGATAGTGGCAATTACACTTGCAAGGTTAAGGACCAAGAAACTAAATCAACCGTTGAAGTCTTGCCACGCAAACCTGAGTTTATTAAACCTCTGGAAGACTACGAGGTAACCGAAAAGGATACTGCCATTTTGGATGTGGAAGTATCCACCGACGTTACAGAAATGCAATGGTTCAAGGATGGCGAGAAGATTACACCCGAAAAGAAGAACGTAGATTTCATTAAGGATGGCAAGGTGCATAGATTGCTTATACGCAACTGCACTATCCATGATGAGGGTGAATACTCTTGCAAATTCGCCGATCAAGTATGCAAGTGTGAACTCACAGTCATTGAATTGCCACCAGAAATTGTCAAACCTTTGGAGGATGTTACAGTAACCGAAGGTGAAACAGCTACCTTCACGGTGGAACTCGACAAGGGTGATGCTTTGATTAAATGGTATAAGAATGGCAAGGAGATAACATACGATGAACGTGTACAACTAACTATCGATGGCAAACGCCAATCGATTACCATCAAAAAGGCTAAACCTTCAGATGCCACCGAATATTCCCTTAAAGTGGGTGAACAAACATCGAAGGCTAAGCTGGTGGTGGAGAAACCTTTAGTTGAGTTTATCGTACCATTGCCCGATGTTACTTTGGCTACCAAGAATACCGATGCTGAATTCACTGTCAAACTATCACCACCCGATGTGGAGGTGACCTGGTACAAGAAAGGAAAACCCATTAAACCCAATAAGAAACACGAAGTCTTCGTGGAGGGTACCGTTAGACGTCTGGTTATTCACGATGCCGAAGATGATGATGCTGGAGAAATTAGTTGCACTGCCGCCAATGTTACCACCAGTACAAACTTATGCGTAGAAGAGGTTAAGACCGCTCCTATTATAATATCCGATAAGGAACAGACAATCAAGGTTAAGGAGAACGATGATGTAACAATGACTATTAAATATTCGGGTGTACCACAGCCAGATGCTGAATGGAAAACATCTAAGAAGGTTATTGTTAAATCGAATAGGGTAACACCCACTATCGATGAGCAATCAGCCTCGTTGACCATACGCAAGGTGGTGGAAGAAGATGAAGATGAATATACCATTAAATTGCGCAATCCAGTGGGTGAAGCTGAAGCCAGTTTGCATTTGGTTATCATGCGTAAACCCTCAGCTCCGGGAGCTCCTCAACCTTTGGAAGTTATGCACGATTCGATTACACTCTTCTGGAAGGCACCCGAGGATGATGGTAAATCCGATATATTGGAATATATTTTGGAATACAAAGATGTTAAGACTGAAAAGTAAGTTAAATGTGAGAATTTCACGAACTAAAGTAATAATTTCCGATCTCTTTCTTTTTCTTCTAGATGGTCCGAAATTCGCAAGATTAAGGATACAACTTATACTTTAAGCAAACTTGTTATTGATACGGAATACGTCTTCCGTTCAATAGCCGTCAATGAAGTTGGTCCCTCACCACCCTCACCCTTGTCGCCACCCATACGCCTGGTCGCCGAGGTAAAGAAGGAAAAACCAACGGTACAAGAACCTTTGCAAGACATTACCACCGAACATGATAAGGAAGTAACACTATCCTGTGTCTTCGGCGGTGTACCAGAGCCTAAAGTGATTTGGAAGAAGAATGGCAAGATTATACAGACCAAGACCATGCGCTACGAGAACCGTGTGGCTAAATACACAATTGAAAAGACCACTGTCGATGACGAAGCCGAATACACTTGTGTGGCTGAGAACGAAGTGGGCAGTGTAGAGACCACATGTCGTGTGACATTACAAGAGAAACCCATCATCGAACTAGAGGAGAAATATTTGTCACTAAAATTACGCACTGGCAACGATATGACCATTCCAGCTTTAGTTAAGGCTTATCCACAGCCCAAGATTACATTGTACAAGGAAACAACAGAGGTTAAGACTACCAAACGCCAAACGATTGAAATCAATAAGATTACTACGACCGAAACCAAGACTATAATAAAAATACAGAAATTAACACGTGAAGACTCGGGTCGTTATAAATTGGTGGCCGAGAATGCAGCCGGCTCTAGTAGTGTAGAATGTAATATTAAGGTTATCGATAAGCCCAGCCGTCCACAGTCTTTGGAAATTAAGGACGTTAAAAAGGATTCCATTAAACTTGAATGGACACCACCCATTGATGATGGTGGCTTAGAGATCAACAAGTATATATTGGAGAAATGTGAACTACAGAATAATGTTTGGATGAAGGTGGCCGATGTCGATAGGGATATAACCTCCTATTGCCTGCAAAAACTTGCCATGAACTCACAATACATGTTCAGAGTGGTGGCCATGAATCCCATAGGTGAATCAGAACCCACAGAAAGTGAACCGGTGGCAATAACAAAGAAATTCGGTAAGTTTTTTTTTTTGGAACTAAACATTTGCAAAATTTTTAAACTAATGTGTTGCGTAACTATTCAACAGACATACCCTCACCACCCCGAGCACCCATTGATGTTTCCGGCATGAATGACACATCATTCACACTGTCATGGCAAGAGCCCGAAACAGATGGTGGCACTAAGATTATTGAATATATTGTTGAGATTAAAGAATTCCATGAAACCGACTATAGACTACTGGGCAGTACAAATGGCAATGTACCCAATATATTGGTTACAAATGTTATCAAAAATAAGGCCTACACCTTTAGAATATACGCCAAGAATGAAGTTGGCACCAGTGAAGCTCTTGAGACTGAAGATAAGATAGTCGTCAGCCGTAGAATAAGTAAGTTTTACTTTTAAACTTTTAAAGTTTCTGCTATTCGATATTAATGCTCTTTTAACTTTTTTTATTTAAAAACTGAATTTATTAAATGCTTTTTGCTTTGAATGCTTTTTTTTCTTGTAATATAACTGCAGTTAGAGCCTCCGAGGGATTGGGTATGTAAAATGCTTATTTTAGGGCAAATTGCTTTGTTTTTAGAGATTTATGTTTTGGAAAACTTTGGGTATTTCATTTTATTAATTATATAAATTTTGTATATTTATTAGCTCCTCCCTCACCTCCTCAAAATCTCAGATGTCCGGATATTACTGGCAGAAGTGTTACTCTCGATTGGGAAATACCTGCTCACAATGGTGGTTCAGAAATTACAGGTAAGTGGGAGAAAGAGAATTGCAGTTCAATAGTAAATGTAGTAAAAAAAGCTCATGCTTTTTTGTTCAATTTAAATCAATAACAAGTAAGAGTGTTATATTCGGCTATGCCGAATCTTATATACCCACCATCAAACCTCGTTTGACTCGAATGAAACTTACTTATGTCGAATTTCATCTATATACTCGTATATTTATGCCAGTTATAAGCGTTAAAGTAATTTTCTGAAGGGGACCATGTATAGGGGGGTAGGGTCAATTATGGGTCGATCCTCATAAAATTTGGTAGATAGAATTTGGTTCGTATTAAATTTATTTGTGTCGAATTTCATCGCTACACTCGTATTTTTAAACCATTAATAAGCGTTGCAGTCATTTTCTGAAGGGGACCTTATATGCGGGGTAGGGTCAATCATGGACCGATCCTCATAAAATTTTTTAGATAGATTTTGACTCGTTTGAAACTTACTTATGTCGAATTTCATCTATATACTAGTATTTTTAAGCCAGTAATGAGCGTTAAAGTCATTTTCTGAGGGGGACCTTATATGGGGAGTAGGGTCAATTATGGACCGATCCTCATAAAATTTCGCATATTGATTTGGGATCATAAGAAACTTACTTATATCGAATTTCATCGCTATATTCGTATTTTTAAACAAGTTATGGCTGTTAAAGCTGCTTTTCGAGGGGCCACTTGTATGGGGGCTATCCGAAAACGTGGACCGATATTGCCCATTTTCAATACTAAACAAACCTTACCTATAAGAAATATTTATGTGAAATTTCAACCCTCTAGCACTTTCCATTCGGACTCTATCGCGCTTTCAACAGACAGACAGACAGACAGACAGACAGACAGACGGACGGACGGACGGACAGACGGACAGACATGGCTAGATCGTCTTAGAATTTAATGAGGACCCAGAATATATATACTTTTGTGGGTCTATGACCAATATTTCTATGTGTTACAAACGGAATGACAAAATCAATATACCCCCCATCTTTTTTGATGGTGGGTATAAAAAGATAGGGTCAAAGGTCATGATGTTTTGAAAAACCAATTAAGAGAATTTTTGATTTTTCACTGATTTACGTCAGTTATAGCTTTTTAGCAAGATAATACTTCTTAATCGATCTCTCATTCTTTATCCTTAACAGGCTATTGCATTGAAAAACGTTCATCCACATCGACCACATGGACTAAGGTCATCACCTTAGATGCTCATTGCCTACAATACACTGTGGATAATTTGAAAGAAAAGTCTGAATATTGGTTTAGAGTATCGGCGGAAAATGAAGCTGGTCTAGGTGCACCAGCCGTAACCGAAAGTATTGCCTTAAAAACACATGCCAGTAAGTATCCGTTGATGGAACTCTATAATGTTACAAATTTTTATAAAATCTTTTTCTTAATTTTATAGCGGTTCCCTCACCACCCACAGCACCCTTGGAAACAAGAGTTATTGCCGCCAATGCTCATGTATTCGAATGGGGTATACCCGAGTCAGATGGTGGTGCGCCTCTGCTCGGTTATCACATTGCTATACGTGACATGAAGAAGAGCATGTGGATTGAGGTTGGTCGTGTACCAGCCGGTGTACAGAAATTCCAAATTAGAGACTTACAGGAGAATCATGAATATATGATTCGTATCTTTGCCAAAAATGAAATTGGTTTAAGTGAACCGTTGGAATCTGAGGAACCCTATAAGGCAGTAACATTAGGTAAGTTTTTGTACTGCATAAACGACTTTTTAACAAGTTAAACTATATGGTCCTTCGGAACACTAACCTTTTTTCTTGGTATTCTTACACATATTCAGGTCTCGCCAGTCTACCAGATGAACCTCGTACCGAAATGAGTTCTTGTAATACATCATCTTGGTTGCGTGACCATCATATGGATGCGGATATACATTCATATGCTCGCGGTAAATTATTGCGACGCGATGAATACTTCTTCCGCATTTGGGCTAAAATGCCAAAGAAGAAAAAGAATTCGAAATAATTCTTAACCTAAAAAACCAGTAAACTAACTATTAATGACCAATTAATTAAACAAAAAAAAAATTGTAAAATATTAAAACTACCACAAAACACAAACAAACGACGAAACTACTACTTACTTTACTACTTACCTACTAATTCATAAGTTCAGTTTAATAGTTTAGAAATTTTTCTACTTTTAAAAAACACTACAACAACAAAAAACTCATCTAAATTATAAAAACTATTTAAATTTAATTAGTTCCTTAAGTTTTAAGATTTTTGTAAAAATTATGTAATATTTTCAGCCGAAAAAAAAGGTGGCCCAAAAAACCCATATTCCAAAAAAAAACTCTATAATCCCATTTAACAACAGCGAGCGAAGATATTCTAAATATTAAATAATTTTTTTGGAATATTAGTTTTTTAAAAAGCCACAATTTTTGTTTTAACAAATTATTTAATAATCCTCAAATATTACATAATTTATATATAAATTGTTATCATTTCTTTTATTTATTTTTCAATTTAAAAAAAAAAAAAGAAAAAAACTAATTTGTTTGACTTTCACTTTCATTTTATTAATTGTAAACTGTGATACATTTTAAAAAAAAAAAGTAAATCACAATAACGAATGCATACAGTTTGAAAATTGTAAAAAAATATGCATTTTCCTTTTATTTTATTTAATAATATTTAAAACGAAAAAATTAAGAAAAAGTTGTATTTATTTCCCATTGGTTTTTTATAAAAGGTGCGATTTTGTAGAAGACCATTAAGAAAAAAATATTTGTTTTTTCTTAATTTTATAATTTTTTTTTTCTTAAAGAAAATGCATATTTTTATTTTAAGACATAAAAACAAATATATAAATAAAAATTATTAAAAAACTAAAAAAGAAAAGTTTTTTTATTTAAAAATTGTGAAATTTTGATTTTTAGTGAAATTATGATTGTTTAGTGAAATTATGATTTTTTTTAATAAAATTTTAATTTTCTAGTAAAATTTCGGTTTTCTGTTGAAATTTAGACTTTTTGGTGGACTTTTGGTTATTTAGTGAAATGTCAATTTTTTAGTGAAATTATGCGAAACTAAGATTTTTGGTGAAATATAAATTTTCTAGTAACATTAGTTTTCATTTTAGTGAAATTTAGATTTTTAGTGAAATTATGAATTTTTTTAGTGAAAATTTTTTAATCAAATTTCAATTTTCTAATGAAATTTAGACTTTTTGGCGGACTCATGGTTTTTTAGTGAAATGTAAATTTTTTAGTGAAATTATGCGAAACTAAGATTTTTTGTGAAATTTCGATTTTCTAGTAATATTAGTTTTCATTTTAGTGAAAATTTGATTTTTAGTGAAATTTAGATTTTTAGTGAAATTATGATTGTTTAGTGAAATGATGATTTTTTTACAAAGATTTTTGGGAAATTTCGATTTTCTAGTAATATTAGTTTTCATTTTAGTGAAATTTCGTTTTTTAGTAAAATTGTGATTGTTTAGTGAAATGATAATTTTTTTAATAAAATTTAAATTTTCTAGTAAAATTTCGGTTTTCTAATGAAATTTAGACTTTTTGGTGGACTTTTGGTTTTTTGGTGAAATGTCAATTTTCTAGTGAAATTAGGCGGAACTAAGATTTTTGTGAAATTTAGATTTTCTAGTAACATTAGTTTTCATTTAAGTGAAATTTTGATTTTTGGTGAAATTTCGATTTTTAGTGAAATTTCGATTTTTAGTGAAATTATGATTGTTTCGTGAAATGATGATTTTTTTAATAATATTTCAATTTTCTAGTGAAATTTCGGTTTTCTAATAAAATTTAGACTTTTTGATGGAATTTTGGTTTTTTAGTGAAATATCATTTTTCTAGTGAAATTGTGCGAAACTAAGATTTTTTGTGAAATTTAGATTTCCTAGTAACACCAGTTTTCATTTTAGTGAAATTTAGATTTTTAGTGAAATTTAGATTTTTAGTGAAATTGTGATTGTTTAGTGAAATGATGATTTTTTCAATAAAATTTAAATTTTCTATTAAAATTTCGGTTTTTTAATGAAATTTAGACTTTTTGGTGGACTTTTGGTTTTTTAGTGAAATGTTAATTTTCTAGTGAAATTATGCGGAACTAAGATTTTTGTGAAATTTAGATTTTCTAGTAACATTAGTTTTCATTTTAGTGAAATTTAGATTTTTAGTGAAATTTTGATTTTTAGTGAAATTATAATTGTTTAGTGAAATTATGATTTTTTTAATAAAATTTAAATTTTCTAGTAAAATTTCGGCTTTCTAATGAAATTTAGACTTTTTGGTGGACTTTTGGTTTTTTAGTGAAATGGCAATTTTCTAGTGAAATTATGCGAAACTAAGATTTTTTGTGAAATTCCGATTTTCTAGTAACATTAGTTTTCATTTTAGTGAAATTTAGATTTGTATTGAAATTTTGATTTTTAGTAAAATTTCGATTTTTAGTGAAATTTCGATTTTTAGTGAAATTATAATCGTTTAGTGAAATTATGATTTTTTTTAATAAAATTTAAATTTTCTAGTAAAATTTCGGTTTTCTAATGAAATTTAGACTTTTTGGTGGACTCATGGTTTTTTAGTGAAATGTAAATTTTTTAGTGAAATTATGCGAAACTAAGATTTTTTGTGAAATTTCGATTTTCTAGTAACATTAGTTTTCATTTAAGTGAAATTTTGATTTTTTGTGAAATTTCGATTTATAGTGAAATTTAGATTTTTAGTGAAATTATGAATTTTTTAGTGAAATGATGATTTTTTTAATAAAATTTCAATTTTCTAGTAAAATTTCGCTTTTCTAAAGAAATTTAGACTTTTTGGTGGACTTTTGGTTTTTTAGTGAAATGTCAATTTTCTAGTGAAATTATGCGAAACTAAGATTTTTGTGAAATAAAATGAAATTTAGATTTTCCGTTGGAATTGCAATTTTTTAATGAAATTTTGATTTTTAAGTGAAATTCGATATTTTGGTGAAATTATGATTTTCCAGTTAAACTTCGATTTTTTAGTGAAATTATGATTTTCTAGTGAAATTTAGATATTTTAGTAAAATTTCAGTTTTTTGAAAAATTTCGAATTTTTAGCGAAATTGAAATTTGTTTAGTGAAACTTTAATTTCTAAGTGAATTTTTCCAACTAAGGATTTGGTTCTGTGGTGAATTTAGATTTTTTAGTGAAATTTAGATTTTTTGATGAAATTTCGGGTTTCTAGTGAGATTTCGATATTCTGGTAAAATAATGATTTTCCAATTAAACTTTGATTTTTTAGTGAAATTATGATTTTCTAGTGAAATTTAGAAATTTTGGTAAAATTTCGTTTTTTTTTTTTTTGGAAAATTTCGAATTTTTTGTGAAATATCAATTTTCTAGTGAAATTTCGATAGTCTGTTGAAATTATTATTTTTTTATTAGTTTAGATTTTTTAGTGAAATTATGATTTTCTAGTGAAATTAAGATATTTTGGTAAGAATTTCGGTTTTCTAGAGAAATTTAGATTTTCTGGTGAATTTCGGTTTTTTAGTGAAATTTAGTTTTTTTATTAAAATTTTAATTCTCTGGTGAAATGTGTTTTTTTCTGGAGAAATATTGATTTTGTAGTAATTTCGGTTTTCTAATTAAGTTAGATTTTCTGGTGAATTACGGTTATTTAGTGAAATTAATTTTTTTAATTAAAGTAAAAATTTGGTTTTCTAAAGAAATTTAGACTTTTTGGTGGACTTTTGGTTTCTTATTGAAATGTCAATTTTTTAGTAATGAAATTTAGATTTCCGCTGGAATTGCAATTTTTTAATGAAATTTAGATTTTTTAGTGAAATTCGATATTTTGGTGAAATTATGATTTTCCAATTAAACTTCGATTTTTTAGTGAAATTATGATTTTCTAGTAAAATTTAGATATTTTATTAAAATTTCAGTTTTTTGGGAATTTTAAAATTTTTAGCGAAATTTTTTTAGTGAAACTTTAATTTCTAGGTGAAATTTTTCCAAGTGAGGATTTGGTTCTGTGGTGAACTTCGATTTTTTAGAGAAATTTAGATTTTCTGATGAAATTTCGGATTTCTAGTGAAATTTCAATATTCTGGTGAAATTATGATTTTCCAATTAAACTTTGATTTTTTAGTGAAATTATAATTTTCTAGTGAAATTTAGATATTTTGGTAAAATTTAGTTTTTTTGGAAAATTTCGAATTTTTAGTGAAATTTTTACTGAAATATCAATTTTCTAGTGAAATTTCGATAGTCGGGTGAAATTATGATTTTCTTATTAATTTTGATTTTTTAGTGAAATTATGATTTTCTAGTGAAATTAAGATATTTTGGTAAGAATTTCGGTTTTCTAGAGAAATTTAGATTTTCTGGTGAATTTCGGTTTTTAGTGAAATTTAGTTTTTTTTAGTAAAATTTTAATTCTCTGGTGAAATGTGTTGATTTTGTAGTGAAACTTCGGTTTTCTAATTAAAGTTAGATTTTCTGGTGAATTTCGGTAATTTAGTGCGATTTTTTTAATGAAATTACGATTTTCTAGAAAAATTTATATTTTTAGTGAAATTTAATTGTTATAATGAAATTAAGATTTTCTGGTGAAATTTAGGTTTTGAGTGAAATTTCATTTTTCACATTCATGTGAAATTTAGATATTTTTGATTTTCTAGTGAAACTTTGATTTCCTAGTGAAAATCTAATTACTAGTGAAATTTTACCGTTTAAGTGAAATTTTAATTTTATAGCGAAACGATTTTTTGGTCAAATTTCGATTTGTGAGAGAAATTTTATTTTTCTAGTGAAATGTTTTTAAACATTAAACTTTAATCTTTTGGTGAATTTTGTAGTGAAATCCTGTTTTTTGTGAAATTTTTAACTTCTAGTGAAACTTTGATTTTTCTGTGAAATAGATTTCCTAGTGAAATTTCGACGTTATTAAAATTTTAGTTTTTAGTGAAACTTTGTATTTCGGGTAAAATTTCGACTTTTTAGTGAAATTTAATTTTTTTTCGAAAAGTTTTTATATTTTAGTGAACTGCTGATTTTTTTTTGGTGAAATGTTGATTTTTGTTATAAATTTTGTAGTGAAATTTTAATTTTCTAGTAAAATTTCGATTTTTAAGTGAAAAATTTTCAAATTTTGAGAAAAATTCAAAAAAAATCATTTGTATTCCTATAAAAAGCACTAAAAACCCAAACAAATCCTTGGTAAACAAGGCAACACTGTTTAAAACACACAACTACTACCAACAAAATACAACTCTGTGCATTTCTGACTTTTCTTGTCATTACATAAAAATTCTCTTCAGTCTGCCTTTCCTTTGCTCTAACATATTTTCTTTGTGGTAAAAATGTGAAGAAAATTTTACAAAAAAAAATGTCATAAATAATAAAAGAATTTAAAGAAATATTATAAAAATATATTATTTCAATTGTAAGCTTAATAAATTTAATAAAATGCTTAAATAATTATAAAAATTAAAGTGTTAAAACTTGAAAAATAAACGAGTTGTCTGCAAAAAAAAAAAACTTGGAGGAACGCAAAAAAAAAAAACGGAACAAATATAAAGTGATAAAACGAAGAAGAAAAAGATAATAATAGAAGAGAACGCGCCATTTTGGATTTTTTTCTTATGTTATTTTTGTAGCGTAAATGAATTTTTTGTTATAAAAAAAAATGTGTTTTAATACGATTTTTAAGAAATTTAAAATAAATTAAGAACCATGTTAATATTGCTGGAGGAAAATTTAAGAAATAAATGTTAAAAAAGTAATTAATTAAATGTTTATTTATGGCGTTGTGTGTAGTGTGTTTTTTTTGCAATAAGAAAAAATGCAACCATGTTTAGCTATTGGCGGCTGTAGTTAGTTGGCCTGCTGCTGCTGCTAAATATTAACAAGATTCCTTTGAAAAAACACTTCATTCATAAAAGTTCAAGGTTTTTTCTAAGTAAAATTATTTAAAATTAATTATAAATATTTCAGTAATAATGTAAATGATCAACAAATTTAGTAAATAATAAAAAATCAAGTGTAAATAAGTAATTGTTTTACTTTAAAAGTAAAAAGTATAATAATTTTGCTAATGACGTCATGGCTGCAGCAACAAACAAGCCATTGACAAAGTGCTAATAATTTTCCATTTGTTTTTTTTATACAAAATATAATTTTAATATGAAGCAATAAAAAAAGAAATTAACAAAAAATACAAAAAGAAAGTGTTATAAAGAAAAAAGTAAAAACAAACTTAACTCCTTTTTTTTGCAACTCAGTGTTTTTTTTTTCGACAATTTTGGCGTTTGCTCCTTTCAAAGTAAAAGAAAAGGAGTAAACCAACAACAGCAAGCAAAATTAATCAGTATTTTCGTGTGTTGTCTTATCGTGTTTTTTTCAAGCAAAAAAAAAATATTCATTACGGTTTTTTGTTTTTATCTATTTTAGTAAATTATGAAAAGTGAAATAAATCGGTATTTCTTTTTGTATAAATAAATCAGATAATAATATTAATTATTGCTTTAAGTTTTAATTTAATCGAATTATCACACTCGGAAATATAGAACTTTAAAACGAAAACAATAACAACAACAACAAAAAAAGTACACAAAAACACCGCAGCTCTTTTTTTTTTTTTTTGGTTAGAAGAAAAATATGGGCATTTTGTTATAGCCTTTATCTTCTTGAGATCGGTCAATATAAGTTTGTCATTCCGTTTGTTTCATTTCATTAGCGACTACCTCCTTAGCTTATGTCATTACAATAAGGCACAAATTGCTAAGTGGAAACAAAGAAACCTTATCCTCACAGACCGATTAATCGTTATGTAGTAGCTACAAATGGATTAGTCGGTTAGTGGTTAATTATGCTGCTACAGTGTGATCACCTCCGCTCTGTAATGCTCAGTGGAGAAACATTCAAAGTTGTCAAAACGTTTCCCAAAGGTCTGTAATAGACTGCTTACAAATTACCTCGGAACATCACCTACACGAGGAAACGACTAATCAGTTTCTATTGGAATATCACCAGAGGTGTCATTCTAACCTTAACAACTTGCAAGTGGATGCTCCTCAGAAGCATGTCGGATGCATTATTATATTATAAACAGTTATGTATAGGATCCAATAGATCAGTCCTCGTATACGACAGCTTTTATTATCATCAAGAACTAAGAGTAGTTCTGACATTGGCAAGATCTGGATGGAGCTATAGGCTTAATGACTACTGGTCACACATAGACTGTGACAGTCCCAATGAATGTCCAGCATATGGTCAAGGTGCCCATGATACCCATCACTTATTCAAGTGCTTAGCCAATATCTCAGATGTGATGCTCCCCCGGGGCATGTCAGATGGATGTACCTACATATATACACCGTTATGTACAGGATCCAATAGATCAGTCCTCGTATAAGGCAGCTTTTAATGTCAGTCAGAACTATAAGAGAAGTTCTGACACAACTAAGATCGGGAATTAGCAATATTCTTATGGCCTACTGGTCACAAAGACTGTGAGGGCCCCTATGAATGTCCATCATTCCATTATACCCATCACTTATTCAAGTGCTTAGTCAACCCTACTTTACTTTGTCCAATATACAAATCCATTGGAAGTAGCACAAGTTTTAGGCCTGAACATTGATTTAGAAACAACAACCCCCCAAACTAGTTCTAATTCTTACAACTACAACAAATTTTGTCACAGATCATTTTATTCTTTTGAAATTTCTTAGAATTGGTTCAAAATCTTAAATAGTCCCCATACAAATACATACCTATATACAATTCCGGAAAATGGTAAATAAAATCTTCTAGAATATCGGTATTAGAGAAGAAATTCTGCACCTATAAATCTTACATTAATACAAATAGTATTACCAAGTGAAAGCTGAATCGATCCATAATTTGTTATAGCTTCCATACAAGGTCCACTTCAAAAAAAAAAAAAAAAAAATTCATAAAATGATAACGATAACGAGACAAAATTAGATTCATATTATTGAATTCATATACAAATAATACTGTGAAATGTTTGTCCGACCGGTCCATAATTGGACCATACAAGATCCAAAACTTTATAAAATGTATTTATAGCTGAAGGGTATTTAAGATTCGACCTAGTCGAATATAGAACTGTAACTTGTTTTTGATTCTTTTTTTGCTGTGAGAGCGATAGTGTTAAAAAGACGACGTTTATGATTAAGGTGAAGGAGGAGGAG